TATAAAATTTACATAGTTATGTATGTATATTGTATGTATATGTATGTCATATTGTAAAATAATTTACCTATCATTCACTATTTTATAAAATACCTGCAGTAATAAATAAACATGGTCGTTGAAAGGTGTTGTAGATATAGCAACACTTTATATCTCTATGCCCAGGCGGGTCCCTGAAGGGAATAGATGCGAGTGATCGCACCCCCTCCCCCACCAAAGAGCAGCGGACGCTGACATTTTACAAAGTCATTGGTCTATTAGATATAATAGATATAATTAATATATTACTATCAATCTATTATTGACATAATTTTCTAGATTATGAGTATAGCAAAGAGAATTGCAAATGGATTGGATACAACTGGATTTTTAACGAGGAATTAATAAACTGAAAAATAGTTTCATAATTGGTGGATTCTTGTACGTTACATGTAACTAAATATGATTCACTAGGCGTTCCATCTAATTTACCAATTAATAAATTTGCAATAGCCAAACCTAAACGAAAATAGAATATTTTATTATATGAGTTATTAAAAAAATTAATTTATACGAACCTCTTGGATTGGTCGTTTCGTCAACAATTATGTAAACGTAATTATTTCCAATATCACTAATTGTTTGATCTATAACGCTTTTATTAATATTTGGTATGTAATTTTTTCTTAAAGCGCTTTCGTCCGGAATTAATTTGCTAGTATGTTTTTCCAAAAATAATTGCCCAGCTTATGCAAAGAAATATTTACAGCAACAAATGCATTACATAAATCTTCAAAAAATACATTTTTACTATTTGAATTTTGAAAAGTAATCAAAAGCTGCTTTTATTTCTTTATTCCTTTGTAATGTATTTACGTGTTGAACTAAAAAAAATATGCATGTATTTTTGAAATAATATGTAGTATATTACGTGTAGTATGAGTATAAAATATAAAACTTACTTGTTTTGGAATGATGATCTAATAGATATTTTTTTTCAGTAAACACAGATTAGTTACATACGAGACAATACATAACCTATCCATCTGATGAAAATACTTCTTTATTTTCATTGTAAGGAGCAATCCAATTCGAAATTTTACTTTTTAAAGTTGATTTTATTTTCGGTATTTCGTCGAATATGTTCGCCGTGCGGTCAAACTGATCAAAGAATAGGTACTTAGGTACCAATAGGTACATGCACATGAATCGCTGTACTACTACGTTAAATTTAATTACCACAATGTATATATAGACGCTTATCACTCGTTGGGTCCTCCAAAGTTCTAGAAAATTCCAGATGAACGATAAACGCCTATGATTTAATTACGTGAGGAAATTGCAAAAATTTTAAAAAACGTCGAAAATTGAAAAAAATTGCATAACAAAATTAAATAGGCAGAACATTTTTGGTATATAGCGGTTATATATTTAATCAGATCTGATTTATCTTTATTGCAATAAAAGTTGCAATTTCAAATAAATCCAGTCTTTACTGATAACTGATAATAATCAATTTCACAATGCCAATTATTTATTGAATTTGTTTTTTATGAATAATGGAATTTATTTTATTTAATTTCATAATACCAACCTAATCAAATAGAAAAAAAAATGTTTACTTTTTAATGATTTATTTATAATACAAGTATGCAGGCCTACACCCAACAATGGTATAAGCAGAAATATTTTGTATGAATAAAGTATGTAGTAATATGTTAGTAAAATATAGTAAGTATGAATGAAAATAAGTGATAGAAAAATGATAATAAGAAACCACTCTAATTTTTATTAAAATTATAAATTAATATTATTTTTCAATTATGGTTTTTCCTCTTTAATACCTCTTGGGCACGCCGCTCTATGAAATGTGTTATACATATTTACACATATTTATAAAAACATATAAATTTATGTTTAATTTAATATAATTATAAATAATATATAGAGTGATTTTAAATAAATTTTGGTGTTGAAATTTTTGATTCCCGTCAACTCGTTGACGAGATATTCCACTTATACGGCATAATTAACACACCACGCGTCGTACCGCCACATCAATGATACTTCACTACTATCTTCCAATTCAAACTTAAAAGTGAAATATATCGTCAACGGGTTGACGATATATTTCGGTTGAATCAAAAATTTCAACACCAAAATTTATTTTATATAATACTCGATTTATTCAAGGTATTTTAAACATAAGTTGCCATTTAAAAATCAAAAGTAGGTAGTCGTTTCACCCCAAAAAATAAGGGGTTCAAAAAAAAAAAAAAAAATGATAACATAACATTTTAGAACTTTTTTTTTTATAAGTTTTCAAAAAAAAAATTTCGAAAAAAGTTAATACTTTTTGAAACAATGAGTGTTGTTTGATAAAAAAAAAATCACTCTGTATAATAAATAATTTATTAAGTTCTCTAAAGATTTATAATATTTATATGTAAAATTTAATTTTTAATTTTATTAACTTAACACGATTTATTTATATGGGATTAATCCAAAATATATAGTTTTTTTAGACAATAATGTATACCTATATCTACAACCTATTATTTTCAAATGTAGCTATGCTGTCTAAAATAATGTATTTATCTGATACCTATAGTCTATACCTGTTGCAAAACGTTCGGCAAATGAAAGTGAATTAATTCCAGTAATACATTTTAATATAAGTAAAGTATATTTCCTACTTTATGCTTGGGAAATTTGTTGATAGTATATATCGGTAGTCCCGGGTAGAAAGAGCTAAGTCAATTTAATCAACTTTACATGGCAGCAATTTAAAGTTTGAGAATTCCTACACATTAGAGTATTATAACCACGAATTTTATAAAATGCATATATTTATCAAGTTTCAAGTACATTTATAGCTTAAAAATCTTGAATTTAAAGAATTAACTATATTTATGCTATTTGGATTTTTTTTTTCTGGCTAAGTTTTTTTTTGTTTTCATGACATACCTTTTTGATCTAATCAGTTATGTCTTATGTGATTTTGATCAAAATTTAGATTTTACAGATTTTAAATTGACTGTAAAAATTGAATTCACCATAATAGATATTTAATAAAAAAAAAATGTTTACAGTAGGATTAAAAAATAGTATACATTAATATATTATTGATGAAGATTACACTATTAATGAAAAAAATATGTAGGTATGTATTTAGTAATAATTTCAAAATACAACATTTACCATTTTTTAAATAGTTGCTTAATTTATGATATAGTTGATAACAGAATTAAAGTTTATTATCTATAATTAGTTATTCAAGTTTATAATAACTTGTCTTGCCCAAACTATTAGAGAGATCATGCTGAAATTTGGAACACGGATAGTTACTATGGCATACATATCCGCTAGGAAAGGATTTTTGAAAATTCTATCCCTAAGGGGATAAAATAGGGGTTTTTAGGTATATTTAGTACGAATATCTAATTGTTTATTTATTTAATTTTTGTTTGTTTGGTTGTCACAGATAAGAAAAATATTATAACTATAATTCTTACTATTATTTATATTATTAAAATTTCACAATAGAACACTTTTAACCCGCCGAAGGTGGACTACCCACTTTCCATCTAAGTGTTTTTATTCAATTCTAACACGGTTAAATCAAAAATGAATATGGGTAAAAAAAAAAAAAATACAAATTGGCACGAGCAATGCCGAGCACGGGACAACTAGTATATTATAAATAAGTAAAAACAAAAGATAGATAATTAAGGGGTTGCTACAACTGTTACTGTTACGAATGTATATTACCTATTCCGAAATTAAATTTAAAATTTGATTAAGATGATAAAAGCTGCTATGGAAAGCCATAACTCCGAATTTATCTGTAATGACGTAACTTCGTTTTGATGTCATGGCTATACCTTTAGACCATATACGTTCTTGTTATCACATTGATCGTTTAAAAAAAAAATCGCACTATTTTTTGGTATCTACCTATCTATTATTTCTTTGTTAGACTATATATATATATATATATATATATATTACATCATTCAGTTTGAACTTTCCTCCATAAATATTTGTCCAGAATATAATGTACATAATATATGTATACCTACTTATTATATTATAAATATCAGTAGGATAATACATCCTATATCACTATATTAGCGATATTTACCTTTAAAATTAATGTGTTTTTAATACATAAATAATATTTTTTATGAAATATATTTTAATTTTTTTTTCCATACACTTTACCATTTGGATGGATTTAATAAGATTTTTAGTTATAAAATAAAGTTTCTTCTAAATCGATAAGGTATATCAATATTATTAATGGATTTCAAGATTTCAATTTTTTTTTTATAAATATGTAGTAAATAAAAAAAAATAATGAAAGCAAAAATTGTTTTAACTTTAAACAGTAACACTCGTAACATTTTTACTTGTACTTTGATGTGGTTTAATACCTACATCATCACCTACGGATGGAATTTTGAAAAAAAATACGTATAGGTAATATCTAATCTAGTTAGAGGAAAAAAAAACGACATACTTGATAAAAACATTCAGATTTTGAATAATTTGAAAACAAATATTATAATAGATAACAATTATTTATCAATATATGAAGATGACAAAACGTAAGGTTTGATGAATTCAAATTCAAATCTAACGAAAAATATGCAACACGGATCATACCTAATGATTGATTACGTTGGCACACGAAAATATAAACTCTGGATCAATGATAGATAATCAACTATTGAAATATTAGTTGCATAATAACAATAATAAGTAATAACAGTGAGTAAAACGATAAATAGTCTATATTGTAAAAGGGCTGTTCCCGTTGAATTCTAAATAAATAAATAATGACATTTTATTTTTGCTGTTAATGAAAATATTATTATTTTCATCGTACAGAGTGATAGCCGCGGTCCGGGCGACACGGTGTTATCGGGCATAACGTTAGCGGGTTGGCGACACTGTCACGCGTACGGTTCGTGACGTTTAGAACGCGCGGTGCCTGCGCGCGCGCCCCGCCACGGCCGCCCAACGCCCTCCATTAGTTGTGTTTGTCGGCCGGCTGCGGACGCTACGGAAAGATTTTGTTCGTGCAGTGTTGTGTTTTCATTTTTTTTTTCCACGATGCTCTGATAATAATAAATTAGGTGAACGGCAACGCCCGGCTATATTACATTATATTATTCGGCGAAGGAATATCGTTTGTTTACTGCATCCGAGACAACGAAGACAAAACACCGAAGTCATCTGTCCGCGGTACGGCACCTGGTAAGAAGCGATTGTTAGATTGTTATAGGTATTTATACTTGATTTTATTATTATTGTGCTGACCGGTTAATAGAAAAAAAAAAACAACAAATTACATCGGTATCACCCGAAACTAAACTCTCGGCGGCGGCGTTAAATGACAGTTACAATCGTTATTAGCCAACTCCGTCAATTTAGCCTTGACCAACATAACAATGTACAATTTTAACGGGTACCTATTATACATAATACAATAATAATATATACATCAATTCGGCGACCGTAATGTTTTACCGCCCGTCGCCCCGATCTGACAACACCCGGGGCTTGCGTACGAAAACTCGTTTCCTGTCGCCGTCGCGTCGTTCGCGTCCGAACGAGAATTCGGTGCGAAAACGCGAAAATGTCCATTCGTTCATTACACGTCGCCGTCGCGATGACGGTATTTTTTCTCTCGTCCTCCAATTCCGATGGCCATAATTATTTACGTTTTTTTAACGTATCGAGCGGTCGGCGTTATCGAAAATGATGGGCGGGTAGGTACTCGAAACTTTCAGATTATTGTTTGAGTTGTATTACTATTATTATAGTGTTGTAATTGTGTATATTATTTCACCCCCTCCCTCCCCCTTCTACGCACAAACACAAACAAACTGATCGTTCCGGTTATCTCGAATACAATAGGTAAGAAATTAACGATTACTAAATTCGCCGCCAATACCCGTCTCGATATTGTCAACGAAAATAAATTTTTTTTACATATAGATTACAACAGAGCCGGAATACGAGGAACTCGCGTACTTATATTATCTATTCGGGGGTCAGTGGATTGTTTTTGTACGCTATATGTACGGTTTTTTTTTGGTTTCGCGATAGTCTGAGATCTCGGCGGACCGTTAATCGTCATTTACCCAACACGGGTATGGCGTTAGTTACCTATCTACCTACTTACCTAATTTATAATAACTTCTCCCACAGTGTCCGGCTCGTCATAATATACTGTTCCCTCCGCTCGAATGAATTCCGTTTATTTAAATGTTTATTAAGTAGGTAATAAAATGCAGGCGTTTCCGCTCGAAATTGTATGTATTACCGCTAATTGTGCGCTCTCGAGTACAATATTTACAAGGTTAGATAACAAGGTGTCGGGTTTTTATTTTCATTAAAGAGCCTTTATGAAATGCGCTCGTTAATTAGTTGCCTTTAGGTATATACCATATTAAACCTTCAACACGTATATGTATAATAATAATTAAGAATGGAAATGTGTATTATTATATTAGGTATTTAAAATTGAACAATAATTGGATAATCGTTCGTTTAAGTCGAAACTCGTTTTTCGTCTCGTTTGACCGATCGTTTACAACCGTATAAACGTTGTTTGAACTTGTGCAATGAACGTCAGATTTGGGTAAAACACTTCACGAAAAGTATTCAGAATAAATAAATAATACTTACAAAAGGCAGTATTCCGAATATGTAATCGAATTCATATGCTGATGGGTGTGACTCGGTTGTATCTTGTATGTGGGAACTAACTGAAAATAAATACTTTCCGAGTATAAAAATAAATGGTGAAGGGGTGAACCGTTGGGAATTTCAGAAAAAAATAATTTCGATCGAGTACTTCAGGGTGAAAATTTTTCATCTTTTAAAGTAATACGTGAACAAATCGAATAATTTTTATTAATCGGAAAAGTATTTTCCTAGTATAAAAACCCTTGTATTATAGTTCATCATCTTCAATATTAAAACCAAAAAATTTAGAAAACATGAAAAGTATTCGAAATACTACATATATTTTACGAAATTTGAGTTTGGCAAATTTTTTTTTAGTTTTTTTTTTTTTTTTTTTTGCATTTTCACGCCTACAATATATATTATTTGCACGCGTATACATTTAAATATTTAAATTTTGTGTTTTGCAATTAATAGTAGCTATACACTGAATATATTATTCAATTGGAAGACGCGTATATATAATATGAGCGAAAATCGCTACCTTTTGCCAAGTCTCAAAAACAAGTATTGTGGTCGTCAATTAATCATTATGTAATTATTTTTAATTTAAAGATAATAATTACAATACATTTTATAAAAATAACGTAATACGTAAACTAAATAATAATATACTATATATACATACTTAAAGGGATGAAAAAGAACCGTTCACTTTAAAATTAGCTTACTCTGATTTTTACCCGAATTTACATAATAATATCACATTAGTAGGGTACTTGATTCATTTTAAACAAAACTACAAAAAAAAAGGAAAAAAAGTGAAACCCAAAATTATTAGGACTCACGAGCAGCCAGCATTACAAACACGTATATTAAAGAAATAACCATTGAAAGAGTTATAAAAATAAAATAATTATTGTCGTTACATAATATCGGTAGAATAATAATACTATTCCGAGCAGTATTCGTATCTATCCATACTGTAGTAAAAATATTGTACCTACCTATGTGTTAAAATGAATGATCGACGAATAATGGGTATTGCAGTTTTTGTACAATGGAGATTTAATACCTATAATCTATTGTTGTGCTCGGTAAAAGAAAAGTTAACAACGTCTTTAAATAATATTTCTATTATAAATATGCTTAACATCAACGAGCTTTAAGTTATTAAAACTATTTACTCATTTTATAATAATGTAAATCTAATGAAATTTACCGGTTTATTCAATTTGTACCCTATGTTTCTCAAAAAAATGTCAAATAGAAAATTAATTATTACTTAATTCGTTACTTACTCGTATTATTTTAATTTCCTTTTTTTACGATTGATTAAAAAAAAATAGAATCACCGAGTTTTTCGTTTACGATTTGCATATCATTGTTGTAATAATATTATTCGTAACTATGACATCATTCTGTGGGTCACGAGTTTATAATTTTCGACTAGTAGGTGGAACATTCATTCCACCTTACACTCCCTTCCCCCATTCCCTTTTTTTCTGAATACACTTCCTCAATGTTGTAGTAATATCTATCTTGCCAAAAAAATAAAAAAAAACATTTACTACATACGTAGGTATATTTAGTATTTAATGAATGATCGAAATCATTATTTTAGAGCTTAAATTTAATATTTACATATTTCATACCTACGTACGTATTATTAAATCGAATTTCTAACCAAAATATATAAGTTAGGTTAGGTATTTATATTCAGTTTTAACATTTTGTTCAATTCAATTATTTGGTACCATTGGCATTTTTACACAGCAGTGACGTGGCGTTGACTGCCCACATTTTCTGGCCTTAACTCAAAGTTATGGATAAAACATCAAATTATAGTCACAGCCAAAAAATCCGTCTACATTTAAACATACTTAAATTATAATAAAGTAATAAAAGATAAGGTTGCAGACACTTATTTCAAAAAATAATACCCTTAATGAATGTTTTTTTTTTTTTTTTATTGTGAATAATCAAAATGATAAACGATTAACACAAATATACTCATCTCAAGTATATAATCATCACTATATCAAGCCCACTCAATTTCTATAGATTTCGTATTTCAAGAGTTCTTGGCCTTGATCGTTCGTATATATTATTGTTTCATCAATTCAAAGACATTAAAATATACAATTAAAAACGTACAAGATATTTATTTAGGTATTTTATCATTCAAATCAATATATTTTTGCTTACGTGTGTGTTTTCAAATTACAAATAATTGTGTATAGCACTGTTTAGTATTTACTTAACCTAACTTTTTGTTTGTTTTACGAGTATTAATCGGTATATATTTGAATAGTGTATTAACATTCCGAACAATTTTCACACCTATTGGTTATGAATTTATGATTTTAACCAAAATTTTAACCAGTATCTATAGTAGTACCTAAATATTGAAATACAATTAGGTACACCATTTAATGTAACCATGTACAACCAAAATATGTTCCAAATCGTTTTTCGTTAGCAATGATTAATTGTTTTATATAGATAAACATTAAATAACTTTTTACATCTTACCTTTCCAACTTCTCATGTACAACAGTGGTCCATCGTGCGAAGTATGTCGAGTCTTTTTAAATGATAAATTTACTCTTTTATCGCTTCTCTACTCCTCCGGTCCAAAATTTAAACGGTAAGTCTGATTTATCATTAATCTGAATCATTAAGCCTATTAGTGCTATGTATACTAAAATTTCTAGAAACAAATTCTTTATTCGAATCTGTGTTTAAAAAGGGGTGTTTCTATTTGAAAATCAAAAGTATATACTTATTTAAAGTATTTGGAATAGGGGTACAAAATTAAAAATAAACTAAGAAACGATTCCAAAATCAAATTCACTTAAATAAAATCCTCCTAAAAAAAATGGCTGGTTCATGATAAAAAAAAATAAATAACTCTGTTTTATCTTTAGTTCATTTTTTTAAAGCGCTACTTTCCAATTTTCAAGCCTATTGTTAACTAATTCCAGAATTTCTCCTATCAAAGATATAACATCTGCAAATATCATGTGCTATGGTATCTCATCTCACCATTTGTTGCCTCTTACTACAGGTAGATGTTCTGTGAGAGTATTCTAATTCCCTTCCATAAGGAAAATTATATAAAGAAATAATTTTTAAAATTAACGTACATTTTCTCCAAGAAGAATTACTTAATATGTTAAATTCAGTTTTAAGTTTTTTCATTATGACTTACATTATTTAGAAGGTATATATGCATTTGATACCAATTGAAACAAAAATATATTATCTTAGTATTTCCCCTTTTTTATTATACCTAATTATTATAAAATACTTAATCATTTGCCTAATTATTATACTTTTTACTCAAGTTTTACTTAAATAGTTTTGTTTTTGTACGTAGGTACTTGTAGGTATTTATAGAATGTAAATTGTTCAAATACACTTAATTTAAGCGGTATCTAAATGTCTTGGGAATCAGATCCACCCAAACATAATTTAAATCACTATACATACCTACTATGTTTGAATACCGAATCGTTAAGTCTTGTATTCACGTCAAGCACGATTTTAAAGACTATAATTTTTTTTCAGTTTTAAAATCTAACTACTGAACTAGGAGCTATTTTACAAACATATTAATATGTTTGTGTATATTTGTCATTTTTTTTAACAAATACAAATCTGTGAAAATCTTAGACTTTTAGATTGAATATCTCGTAATATACCTACTGATATATTATGTTAATAACAATGTAGATGCGATTTTTAAACGATTATAAAAAAAAAAATTAAATAAATAATTAAAATCTTTATTAAACAATTATCGTGAATAATCATAAACTTAAAGATTTAGAGTGGAGCGAAGAAGCTTATGGTTTTACCTCGGTTTTATAAATATGTTTTTTTTTTCGATGGACAACTTTTCTACCAGAGATCTTGTTTCGATTTTTAAGTGTAGTACCTTTTTGAAAGGTTAGGGTTAATTTTTTTTTTTAAAGAATTTTAAGGACTCTAAGGAAGTCATTTTTCGATTTTCTCGAGTTTTCCCATCAAATGTCAAAAACCGAAAATAAAACTGAGGAAAAACGAGAAAATGTACGAAATCTATTAGTAAAATATTACGATTTTTTTTTCCCGTGGACAAATTTTCTACCAGTAATTTTCTTCTAACTTATAATGATAGCAATTTTTCTAAACGGAAATTTTACCGGAGAGGTACTTTAGAGAGGTCATTTTTCGATTTCCTCAAGAGTTTTTTCAACAAATGTGAAAAACCGAAAACAATTACTATGCATGGTATCTTCTGAAATACAAAATATTCTTTGTATTATTCGAAATATTTCATTAGATATGTTTCGTAATTTGTACTTATAACGAAATGTGCGATAAAATATTATTATATAGTTTCATCCTCATACACTTGATATTAAAAACAATTTTTTTTTTCTGTAAATAAATATGAATTTAAAGTGAATATTATAACATAATACTTTTTTTATATTGTTAAAAAAAAATATAGGTTATAGACATAACAATGCCTCGTCTTAATTGTAACAGGCGCCACAAGGGTTTATAAAACCAACTCAATATCAATCAATGCGACTATGCGATGGTGGAGCGGTAGGGGTGAATGCTTGCAGTGTTTTGAATTATTTCTGCCGACGGGTCGTCGTTGGACGAGAGTTTGTGCATTACACCCCCTGCTCGATCTTTTGGGAGGCTACAGTTTCGTAATTGCCCTCCTTGCCAGCTGATTCCGGAAACGGATCGAATCGCATTTGTGATCTGATTATTTGGTTATGTTTAAAACGACCTATTATATTACTTAATATAGCTGCTTTACAGCGAATTATAATTTTACCAGTTTTGTATACAAATCAAACAAAAAACTACACGGTTTTGTTTCTAAATGAAAACTATTATAAATAAACAAATTGGTACTAAATAAGCATAATCGATTATTTAATTGACCGTTATACTCGTGTTTATAGTTAAAAAATTTTTTTTTAAATTTAATTAAACTTCTTAGTTATTATTAATTTTTGAAATATAAATTACTTTGACATGACTGCTATAAATACTATTAGCCAGAGTAGAGTATTATCTTTTCATAGGTATAGTTTAAATAGGTAATTATTGTACGCATTTTAATTATCTATAGGTAAACTATGTTTTTTGGTTGGTCGAAAGCAATTTTTTGTAAACCTTAAAACGTATGAAATTGCACGATCAATTGTGTTGTCAAAGATCATCGCTGAATCAATTTGGATAGAATTAAAATATCTCTAATCACTTATCAAGAACAATAAATTTAATAAGTTTAGCATTTACCTTATTAATCACAAACAAATTTAAAATGTATGAACTAATTGCAGTTTTTATTACAGTTAGTTTGTCAGACAAAATTATTTTTATCTGTAACTAATTCTATTATTACTACTTGATATTATATATCTAGGTATATAATATGATATTATAGAATCTAGATAATACAAAACATCTTTGATACAAATTAGAAAATAATATTTTTTTTTTCATAAAAATATTGTACTTATAGTAAAAAGTTTGTTTATTTACTAATTGATATGAAATTCATGTAGAAATTTAAATTTAAATACTTTAATAAAATGTTTTGAATTGTTTTGAATTACACTAACATAATTTACTTTTATACATTGTATACCTATTTAATATGTATTGTTATTATTTGTTATAATATCCCTAATCGAACTATACATATTTTGTGGAAAAAAAAAAATACTTAAAAGCAATATAGTCAATATAGGTAATTTAAGTTTTATCTACAATGATAATTTATTTTTTAACGTTTTTTCTTTGAAAAACCCTTTCCCAGCATTAAGAAATTACCTTACTGTTACATATAGTTTTGCCTTATAATCTTTTTCTATTATTAAAAAATAAGATATTGAATCTGAGTGGTAGGTATTTATTTTAGACCTTTAGGGAGCTATTTTATATGATAAAATGAAAAAAATTTTTTAAAGAAATCATGTACATAGCTATGGTCAAATAGTTTTATCTACTATATTTGTGTAACGACCTATAGGTCCATCTAGTCTATGCTATTCCCGCAGTAATGGGTTAGCAGAAAAGTGTAGAAATTGCTAAAATAAAATCCTAAAAAATGTACTCTTGAGAAAAAAGACTTACAATTATTTTTACTTACCTATAGAAATACGCTAATGTCAGGTTGTAAATATTCTCCATCATAATTGTTGTGTAAAGTGTAAAATGCAAAACTACCAATATATTAAAACTAAAAATGGTAAATACAAAGGAAGAGATAAAGAAAAAAAAAAATTAAGAAAAAGTCATATATTATGATAGAATGACAAAGAAAAGAGAGAAATTTAAGGAAGGTGAATAAGTTTTAGTTAGAGATGTAAAGAAGTTGGAATGGGTAAACGGTCATTAAAGTACTTAAAGTACTGAGATCATATTTAGTCGATATAAACAAAGTTGTAAGAGTGTATAGAAGAAATTAATATAATTTTAAAAAAATGACTGAAAAAAATTAGTTTTTTTTGAATTTGTTAAAGTTTATATGTATTTATTATGAATGTGTAATACTTATTTAATATTATAATATTATATTTGTAATTTAATAGTTATATGTATAAATTCTGTATTTTGTTGTAATTAATTGCTACTGTATTATGTATTGGAAACTTAACTTTAATATTGTCATATACTATTGTAGTATTGTCAATATTATCATATTATTATTAAGTGAGAAATACTGTATACCTACCAACTAACCTAAATCATTGTATCATTCGCCGTTTCTACTGTCGGACCTCGTCCGTTGCATTACATATAAGCACACTTTTTACTGTCTATAGCTAATGATTTTTATATTTTTTATCATTTTCCATGCATTACATCATCAAGTTAAGATAAAATAATATCCAAAGTAGCTTTCATAATGTAGTTGGAAAAAACTAAAAAGTTAAAATTGATTAATATTCATGGTAACTTGACGTCTCGGTTTAATTGTTTTAATTTTTGCAAACGATGTTTTTTACCAGAAATCTTGCCTCCGATTGAAATATGTCAATCCGATTTTTTCAAATTACGGCGCAAGGTTAAGTTTCGGTTAGGTTAGGTTCACAAGTGGTCTGATATTGCACTACTCCCTTACACGCGTATTTCTTTCATACATGACTACTCAGCTATGTACTAACATGTGGTTTATTTGGTTTGTTACCAATCCACATGGTGAGATACATGTTTGTTTTTTGTAAGGGAAGTATGTGCTGCTTATAACCATATTTAAGGGGTAGCAAAAGTAATTTATTTATTTTCATTACCATTCGTGTCTACGTGGTATGGTTTCTATCCAATCGTTGGCTAATACATGGCTTTATTTTCCCAATCCTCGCTTTGAAATTCCCTAGGTCTTATTTTGGTTATTAACCAGTAGGGTATCGCCTAACAATGTCTAGATCATTGAAGAATTCGTTTTTTATGTTATTAATCTTGACTTCTGTTGGTGCATAGCAGTTAATTAAAAACAACTGGTACAACTTGCATTTAAGTTCTATAAATAGAGTTCATTGCATAGCCGATCAATTTATTGATTTACTGCGTTCAGAAAAATGTTATCTTTAATCACAAAACTTATACTGCGTGCTAAGACTATTGTTGTTTCTTGAAAACTATTTTTTGTATTAGGTAGAGTTGTCAGCCTACGCTTAACCTATAACCTTTAGGGACAGTTCACACTAATTAATGTGGGGCTATTGCAATACATTTTATAGCTTTTAGTTTTATTAATAATTGGGGAAATCCGAACATTTAGGGTATAAATGTATAATGATTTGCGTTTTTTTTAATATCGGTTTTTTTTTGTAACTTGATTAAAAATAGTTCAAGCTATTAAGTGGCATTTTTTTTTTTTTTTTGGTTTTATGCGGATATAATTTGTTTTTGAGGAACAGAAATACTTGACAATTTTTTCCCATCTACAACAGTGACAAACCCGTTAGTATTGTCAGTTCTTTTTTCCCCATCAGATAATCAAAAATTAGGGAAAAGCTAAAAATAAATAAATAAAATTTAGTATTGATATTAAAATTATGATTCTGGGATCCACTCAAAATTGTTTTTTGAATGCAATAATGATATTCATCATTGCTTTAAAATGTAAAATAATATTAAAATACTGGCTTGTGCCCCAGTGGCCTATTCAAGGTGGTTTATTTTTAACTCGTGTGTTATTATACAGAGAGTGCCCCATAATGATATATTATTTTAAAATAAAGAGGTTATGGTGTTTACATTACTTGATAAATTCTTTTAGAACACCCTTTGTCCATTACAGATTTTTTTTAATTAGCCGAGTGTTTTTTTTTAAACATTTTATGTCGTGATAATTAATTTATTATTTTAAAAACGAATTGTTACCCGATGATATCGAATATACCAAACCCTGTAATTTTTAGGTAGAACTGTGTTTATATACAGTTTGGTGTAATATTACTATATTTTTTTTTTTTGCTATATCTAGGTACCTATTAGATATCCTAGATTTGATTGAAAACAGTTAGGTTATTTCTATTTAAAAATAAACAATAATTTTCTGTCCGTTGCGAATTTTAAATTATTGATTTATATAGGTTTTTGCAATAATTATAGTTCGCTCATACGATTTCATAAGTGCTTTATTTCAGTAAGTATATACTCACATGTAAATATAAACATTTGTTATTTTTTACACATTTTTGCAGTATTTTTTTAGTAGATAATACTATAAATTGAAGAAACTAAATAACTCCGCTATTATTTTATTCGCGTTCATTCAAAATTCCTAAACAATTAATTTTGAATATGGACGTTTTTCATCCTGGCCTGTCATATTAACTAGTATTTATTTATTTTAGCAATCTAGGTTGTATATAATTCCAAATTAACATAAAACATGACTAATATTTATATTTAAGTGTACGTGTTATCGTAGCATGTGAAAATTATATTTAAAACTCGATAGCGATACTCATTCAGTTGTTCTGCAGCATTGTTGTGCTAATTGTTATTTTATTTTTTTACTATTTTAGGCTGTCTATACATTTATAGATCGATACATACGTGAAAATTCAAAGCACTAAAATATTATTTGATATATTATGTACCTATTTTTTTTTACATTTTCCTATTGTATTCATATCCACCGAATAAACTTAATAAGATTAGGTAGGTACATTTTAGAATTTAAACGTATTTATTATTTTTTTTTTCTGTAAAAGTTTGAATTTCTTTAAAGCAATTCAGTTTGATAATCGACAAAGAAAATATACTATTCGTAAATGTATAGAATTGAATTATTAATGTATGCAAATATCATAACAAAATACCTACATAAATTTAAAATAATCGAATAATAAGATATTTATCGTGCAATTTACTTTTAAAACTTAAGTATCTGCAATAATCTGCACAGTAGTAGGTAATGGTATTAATTTTATATATACATAATTTATTAGTTCGTTTCATTAGTAAACAATTATTAAATGTAGTACAGGTATCTAAAGCAATTTTTTATAATGATTAATACCATTTTTTATTTTGTAAAATTATCTAAAATTTAATATTTTCCTTAAAGTTGTACTTTTTTTTAAATAACTTAGTAAAGTTATGTTTTCCGCTTTTATAAGAATTTCCCACGAGGATATCTTAATTGCAAGGAATGGGGGAAATCATTCCTCGTATAATTTATAAATTTGTATGTATAACTAATAGTATAATAAACAATTTGTTTGATAATTGTAAATAATGACGCTTAAAGGTTAATACTAATAGTATACAGATAATTTAATTTAAATTAATAACATTCGGGATAATGTCGATTTGTTATTTTATTCTAATTTAATAGGTTTTTTTTTTTTAATGTTCATACATTATATTTGCTATTTATATACATTTTTACTAGTTTCCTTATAAATTGTTTCGTCAACCGATTGAATTAAAGATAATAGTACTTATCTAGCAGTAAATCTAGTAGAAGGTACTTAAATTATTACTGAAACTTAATATTATATTGCTTTACAAGTATTTACTAAATATAGCCCACGGGTGTTATAGTCGCCTCTTAACTCCTAATGTTGATAGGGTTTCAGTAGGCTTATAAAGTATAAATAAATAAATAGAAAATATCTTATATTACGTCACTCGTGATTAAAGAATAAGGAATTAAATGTTAAGTATATCTAAATTATTCAAAATCGTATATAATATATACCTAATTCATTACTAAGGATATATTATAAAAAATGAAATTAACTGAGCAAATTAAAATAGTACTTAAAATTATTCGCAGGAGAATATTAAACCATCGTTTTCTCAAAGTTGTATACATTCATGGTTACAGGTATTCCATTTTGTACTATTTTGAATTTTTTTTTAATAGTTTTTTATCTGTATATTTTTATTGCTGATAAGTCTTCATTTTAGAGCCAAGTTTTATGATTGATTACTGGTTAAACATTCATATTATAACAATAAGAATATGTTATACTACTTTTATTAAAATTAATCTGATATAGGTATATGGTATATGGGAACGGTTTTTTTACTGCGGGTAATATGGAAACGTGATGCACGAATTGTCATAATAATTATGATAATACAGATGACTCTGAAATGTGCACGTTTTAATATTTAAATACGAACTCGACGACGTAAATAATTTAAATTCGTTTTTATAATATTATATTACGCATCTTTATCTTGGTTCAAGGTATCAATGGATCATTAGAATATTATATTAATATGAATGATTTCTATTCGAAATATTATTTTAATGAGCTGTTATAAATATAATACGATGCGTCCCATATATAATAATGATTATATTAAACGAGCGAACGAAATCAAAATTGTTTTTATTATTCGTTCAATGGTTCAAGCCGGGTCGTCGGATGATAATTCAATTTCCGTTTCGTTGACCTCTCATAAATTCCGGGTGTTTCATATTTTTTGTGTCTCAATGGCAGTATTTTAAAAAAAATAATAATTATTAATCATGTGTCCGTATATAAGTAGGTAAATTGTATTTAAACGTGTATCAATAAATTTTAATTATTAATTTTTTAAAAGATATATTATAGCACACATTTTCGCTGAACTGCTCTACGGCCGTATTAGCAATTATTTGTAGTAAGTCGTCTTACTAAAATAACTTAAACGTAACCGGTTTTAACTTTTTCTTCTTAGCCATCCTCTCGTCGTCACGAAGCCGTCTTTTAACGAATAGAATCGTAAATATTATTCCATTTGTGGCGATTATTGTCACGCCATTTAACCTTCGCCGAGATACCGTACAACAATTTTATTTTTAGTATAATCGTAATGGTTTTCCTTTATTTGCACTTTATGTGTTCCATAGTATTGTAAAATATCGACCCATTGACGACACTGGTGTTATATTTTTGTTGTAATCTACATGTACTGTATAATTTTTCTGCTATCACTTTCATTTCGATTCGTCCGTGAATTTTATGTGAGTATGGTTTTATTTTATTATGTTTTTTTTGAATAAGAAGTACCATCGAAACGTTTGGAAAAATAATTAGTGTATAGAAATGCACGCAGACGTGTGTGTGTGTATGTATGTATGCGGTTCATATTGTCGGTTTTATAAATCGGTCGTGTTTGTCACTTTGCCAATGATGACGACCGTGTGCGTAATCCGGCGTTTATTCTCGGTACATTCCTACTCTGTATAAAGGCGCATTTTTTTTGTCTGTTATTTCGCGGAGTTTCCGTGTAAACTTATAATATTATGGCGTTCTGGAATTTTAAGCTTCCGTCTATATTTTTGTAAATATAACTTTTTAAATGAGAAATGAGAATTTTTAGGTGGATGAATGAAGTGACAAAAAAAGATGGGATAAAGAATGAGTATCTACATAAGAGTTAGCTTTGATAGTAGACAAAATGAGAAGAAATAGACTGAGATGATCATGGTTTGGACATTTCACGAAAAGTGAGGGAACTGAAACAATCACAATTATAATGAAAATAAAAGTAATGGGAATGAGAGAAAGATTTAAGTAGAGGTCAGGTAGTTTAGAATAATATGAAGATAGCTAGTGTATTCGAGATGAGAGATTCGGTCAGGTGGGCGTTTATTAAGACGAGAATGATTGAACCCAAATACTTGGAATGAAAGCGAAGGAGAAGACGATTCATTTTTAAGAAAAAATAATAATATTATTTGATATTATCCATATTATCCATATGAAAGAATAAACTGTAAAATTGATTATAAAAACAATATATATATTTTTTTTTATATTGATTTATTATTATTAACTACTTGATAGTGTTTTAACTCACATTTTTATTTATACCTTGGTAATTCGTCTAGGAAAAATCTGGAAAAATTCAAAACGAAATTTTGTGGTAACCATGATTATTATAACTCAGTGCTGTGATGTGGCTCTGCCGCACTGAGTCGGGCGACCGTCGTCGCCGCCGCCGCCGCCGCCGACGCCGCCGCCGCCATTAACCGCGTCCGCGTGCACGGAATTCTGTGCGTGTATAAAATCGATAAGTAACGCCGCCGCCAACGTTCTCCGAGGCCAGTGGTTTCCAAAATAGAGAAACAAAAACCTACGATTTTGAGCGTCCACCGTGGGGTACGATGAGGGGAGTGGGCGGGTAAACAAAAAAAAAAAACGAAATGTGTCACGGTGGTCGGAGTCGTCGGCGGCGGCGGTCGAACAGAGCGGAATCGCAATCGACGGGAAATATGGTAGTGCGTACAAGATATTACGATAATTATTATTATACGGCCAGTGTTCTAACGATGATACAATATAATATTATACCCTACTGTAATAATAATAATAATCATTTATATCACGCGTCCGTGTGTGAAAGAGAGAAAGGGTCACCTCTGTCTGCGCGATGCGTGCGTATAATGTACAGTGTATGTGTTTTAGTTGAATAACCTGCGCGCGGCGCGTTGCGTAGCTTTATTTCACGCGCGACACATTGTTCTCTATCGCAGCCGCAGTCGTCTAGTCGGATACCGTTACTGACGCTACGCTCGCGCCCGTGCTGGCCGAGCGGAAAACAGTGGTGGTGGCGGCGGACTGCGTGTTAATAGACTCACGTATTTTTATGCGTTCGGGCATGAGAAAGAATCGTCGTGCACTCGATCGTTTTTTTATAAAAAACTTAGGTTCTGAGCGGAGCGAGGCATGTATTGATTTTAAAATGATTTTTATTTATTATTTTTATTTTCACCAGAAAATTTGCTCCGATTTTTAAGTTTACCACTTTTTTTTTTTTTTAAATTAAATTTGACTGGAAGAGGAGGGGGTACTTTAGGGAGGTTTTTTTTATTTTCCAAGCAGTTTTCGTAATAATTAGGAAAAACTGGAAAATATGCGAAATGTATTATTATTTTCAAATCGTAAATATTACAGCCTTTCAAAACATGTATAACCGAACTCCGCTCAGAATCGTTTTTCGTAAACAAAGATTAATCGTTCCGCAAAAATGTAAATTTAATGTCCACTCTACATTCTCAATTTTTTACCTATAACCAATCGTGCGAAGTGTGTCCGATTTTTATCTGGGAAAATTCCGTGTTTTCATTTTAGATTCTAAGCATTTTTTTCGTTTATTGTATTACCACCACAATGGTCATTATATAATTTGTCATGTTTATTCAATTGCCGTAATATTCCTCAATTATTATCAGTATTATTATTATTATTGGCTCTCTCGGCAAAAGCGGAGACGGTAATCGACGTTACAACAGCGCACGATTTGCACCTCTAAATAGTTTAATAAAACAATCGATATCGACCGTTCTGCTACGTATTTCGTATTTTGAGAATTAGTTTTTTTTTCTTGTTATACCTATACTGCCTACGTCATTATCAGCGTTAAATAATATGATCATACAATGAACACGAATAATTGTATTGTTTCTTTTTTAGATTCTGGAGCTTACAGCTAGCGAGAGATCTATCGGTTTTACTATAATGTGTGCTTTTTTATTTCATTTCTAAAAACAACTTTTCGAAAAGAAATCTTGCTCCAAACTGTAGTATCTTTTCTCAGAGGAAATTTTGTCTAGTTGGTGAAAATCGTTTTTTTTTTTGATTTTCTCCGTGGTTAATAATCGAGCAAAACCAAAAAATTCGTAGAAAGAACGGAAAAATGTACTAAAATAATTTTGTATTATTTTAAATTTCGACTGAAAAATTACATTTATTTTTTCGACACGTGGTAACATTTTCAAATCATCTGAGCAATTTTTGATTTATTTATATAGTTAGTTACTCTGTGGATAAAATTGTTAGACCAAACAGAAATGCTTGAAAATTTAACTAGAAGTTCATTACAAGTCGTAGTTTATGGTAAAAAGAAAAAAAAAATGAGTTTAATGTAGTTTTTTTTTTATGTGGATTATACTATCAAATTTTGATGAAAATCATAAATATTACGGTCTTTCAAAACATGTATAACCGAACTTCGCTTCAAATCGTTTTTCGTTTGCAATGGTTTATTGTTGCTTATATAAATATAAATTAAATAACTTTTTCCTACCTTCTCAACTTCCCACCTACAACAGTGGTGCATCTATAAAGCAGTATTACCTTTTTTTTTTTCGTTACATCACATTGCAATTTCTAGCCGCACATTTTATATTTTGTGTACTGTACACACTTTATTGTGTTCTTAACCACATGGGCTCTGCTGAGTGAATGTATACCATGCAATGGAATTGATGTAAAAAAAAAAAAAAAAAAAAAAAAAACTGTTATTTTATCATGTCTTAAAAAAATATGACGCCCTCTTGAAATATGACGCCGGTTGTCAATGCCCCACCCCTGGTATTTTCCTAAATATATCCCTGATAAATAGACGCTAATATGAAACATTTTTTTTATTAATTTTTAACGGATATCGCAAAATTGCTTTACGGTTGTGTATTAGCAATTATGTATAGTAAGTTGTCTTATTAAAATAGTTTAAACGTAAGCGGTTTTTAACTTTTTATTCTTAGCCAGCCTCTCGTCGTTATCACAAAGTCATCAACGAACGGGGTAGTAAATATATCAGGAATTTTTTTATGTATCATAAATGAATAAATTTTCTGTAATTAAACCGAGTCGTTCCCTTTATCTATATCTTTATATAGTTATCCCGTCTACGATTTGACATAATCTACCGCCACGCGTATAATAAAATAAATTATTTATACGTTCGAGTTTCGCGCGTTATCGTAATTTACGCGACGCCCATCCCAAGCAAATAACTTATTAGTACCTGTAGTCCGGATTTATATTATCTTAAAACACCTTAAATATGATGCTAATATTCTCTGAAAAACTACTAATATTCTCCTATATTCTCTTAAAAAATTTAAAAAAATGCAAAAATAATCAATGTACTGATATGTGCATTAATATATGCTTTATAATGTGTATTTTTTTCATTTTTTACTTCATATATTATCTACCATCTACTATAAAAAAAAAAATTTAAAAATACGGATATACTTCGCACGATGGGTGGGCCACTGTTGAAGGTGAGAAGTTGGAAAGGTAGGGTATAGCATATAGAGGAAAATGTAATTTATATCTGTATGCAACGATTAATCATTGCTAACAAAAAACGATTTTAAGCAGAGTTCGGTTATACATATTTTGAAAGTCCAGAATATATATGATTTAAACTCTTATAAAAAATTTACTTTACACTCAATTTTTTTTTTAACTACAAAGTAGTAAAAAAGTAGTAACAAAGTAGTATAAGCCATACGGCTTATAATGAACCTCCTGTTAATTGTTCAAGGATTTCTGTTTCGTTTAACAACTATATCGACCGAGTGACTATCGAATCAAAATTAAGTAAAAAACTAGCAAAATTAAAATGCCCATAAATAGCTTAAAAATGGAACAAATGTTTTGAAAATATTACCAAGTCTAGAAAAGATAAATATAAATTTTATGTTAAAATGTTAAGTTCCTACGAATATTTACAACTGATCACAATAAAAAAAAAAAAAATGGAAAATAATAAATTTCGAAAATTTCCTCGTTTCCCTATGTTTTTTTTTCCAATTATTATGAAAATTGCTTGGAATATCAAAAAAAGACCCCCGAAAGTATCAACTAGATAAAATTCAGAATTTTTTTGAAATCTGGAGCAAGATTTCTGATAGAAACGTGTACAGTATTAAAAAAAAAAAAAAAATAAAAAAAAGATGTCTAGGATAATGAAGATGGATGCAACTACTATTATAGGTAATTTAATGTATACCTGTAAGCAACGATAAACCATTACTAACGAAAAAATGATTCTGAGCGCAGTTCAATTGATAGTAATGCTTAGTCAACAATATATATGTCATATTATAGTAAAATAATTAAATAGGCATTAATATTTTCTTTAATAATATTTGTTTAATATTGTTCCAATTTTCTCGTTTTCCCGGTTTTCACATTTGCTGGGAAAATTCTTTGAAAAATCAAAATTACCTCCCTAAAGTACCTTCCCAGTCAGATTTCCTTTCAGAAAATGTGCTATCATTATAAATCGAAAATAAATTGCTGGTAGAAAAGTTAGCACAACAAATCGGGGGGTATTTTGCGATTAAAATAGTCCGAACGAGTGAAAACTTAGGTCTCTAGGTACACCCAAAATGCATTTGTTTTTTCCTTGTTTAGGTAAAAAGGAAAAAAAATGCAAACTATTATTTTCGTAGCACGGGTTTGAACTCGGAACCCCTAGGATGATAACTGGTATAATTAACTATTAGATCACGACAAATATGCTTGAAGAGGTACAATTTAGAATTATTTAACATAACATATAATATCTGCAAAATATCAGAACTTCAAGAAGCTATAATTTCGAAACTTAGTCCTCTTATTTCTGACTTTTTCATCGTTTTTAAATCGGCAATATACATATGTTCAAAACAAAAAATTAAAAAATTAAATTTGATCCACATAATGTTTTAATCAAACGATTTTCATCAAAATTTGATATTAAAATTCCATTATAAAAATATACTATATTAATCTTGAATTTTCATTTTTGACACAAAGTAAAATTTAAAAGTAAAACTCTTAATGAACCTCCTGTTAAATGTTCAAGCATTTCTGTTCAAGTATAACAATTTTACCACAGACTACCTACCGAATAAAAATTACGTACAAAACTCGGAAAATTAAATTGGTTATAAATAGCTTAAAAATGGCTTAAATTTTTTGAAAACTGTACCATTTAGGAAAGACAAATATAAGATTTCTGTCCAAATTTTAAGTCCATAGAGTATTAAAATGTTTATAAATGGCCCTAATGTTTCGAAAATTTGACTATATCTAGAAAAGGCAAATAAAAGTTTTCTACTCAAATTACAAGTCTCTACGAATATTTATCTTAATTAAAACAAAGAACAAAATTGAAAAATAATAAAAGCATTATTATTCTCGTAAATTTCCTGTTTTTCTTACGTTGTATCCTGATTTTTCCCAGATATTATGAAAACTGCTTGGCAAATTAAAATAAGACCTCCCAAAAATACCATCTGGATAACATTCCCTTTCAGAAATGGTGCCACGCGTATATATCTGAGCAAGATTTCTTGTAGAATTTTTGTACACAATAAAAAAAAAATTAACATCTTAGTAAAACCAATATAATCTTCGCTAAATAAAATACAAAATATAAACATCATTGTAAAACTAAAACATTTTTTGCTTCACTCAGAATCTATATTATACATATATTAAATGATTCGAAAACTTTTTTTTTCATGTGTTTCCATCAAAATAAAAATTTCAATAAATTAGTATTTTTTTCTAACAATTTACAAAATATCCCAAAATATACGAAATATTTTGGAATCCTTAAAATATTCTCAAATATGAAAAAAAACTTTTTCCTGTGAACTCTGTATTAAAGACATTGTTTAAATTTTTACTTTTATTAGACTACATACACTTAGTCACAATATGTAAAAACATAAATTTGTACCCTGCTGTAATTTAATGTTTATTATATTATTGTATTTTGATAAAACATTCTGATGGGTTTTTTTTTTAAATTTATTTTCTTTGAAGGTGCTTGTGTATAGTGATTTTGTCGTAAATGAGTTTGCATTATTTATATTATATTACGCTTACAATATATAATATAGTACATTTATAATGGATTGTTTAACAGTCGCGCGTTGGTTTTTGGGTGTGGCGCCCGGGTGTAGAACGATGTATTTGCCTTGACAGGCTACCACGTCGTCGTCGGGTCTTGCCCCAGATAATATTTATGCAGAGTTACGTGTTGGTTGACCCTTTAAAAAAAAATAAAAAAAATTTTAGTAGTCCCTTGGTATTAAAAAATATAATGTCATTATTAAATATATTAGGTTATATACTGAGAAAGGTTCAAAAGCCGCGTGTCGGTCTTTTGAGAAAAAAAAATGTAATGGGTAGACAATTAAAATACAATCTAAGTTTTTGGTGAGAAGTTTAAATCTCAGGGGAGGGGGATCCAGACCTCATAGATCTTCCCTAGCTACGTCCTTGAGGAACATATCAAATTTGTTTTCAACAGAATCGAATCAAACTTGTGTTGTTAGTTTTAGTATTAAAGTGAATTGACCAATGATTAAATTGAAAGTTTAGAATATTATCTGTGTTTGGTTTCCTTACGATATTTTAATTTTAAAATGAGATGAATATTTTTAAGTTTTAACTTTTTACTTACTCATAGTCTTGTTAACAATACTCTTTTTTTAAATATAATATGCCCTGTTGCCCCTAAACTCGACCGGAAAGTCACAATCGTGGAAATTAGGTAGTGCCTTTGTTGTATGTATTACAGACAAAAAAAACGAAATATGTCAGTGACGAGGCCGACGCCCCTTAATCTACAATGAAATTTATATAACTTTTGTACCCGCACACATAAGCGGCATCAAATTATAATAATATATTGTGATTAAATGTCGTGGTGTTCGGCTCGTTGGATATGTTTGGACAGTATACTCCACGATAATCGCTTGATTGTGTATCACGTTATAATATAGTTGAACGACGCGTCGCGACGATGGATATGTTTATGGTTAATTTTCGAAACGTCGCGACGCTTCGACGGGAAGGGGTATAATAATATTGTATTATTAGAGATAAATCACAGAATATTGCTAAATTCGATAACTCACTCGGTCAATTTGTACGTAGTCGTGTACAGTGCAATCTGTATGACGTGTATTTTCATATAATATTCATCAATATTTGGCGATAGTGATTCGCGGGTAACGGCGAATCGATAATACCTATTCGTTACACGAAATTGCTAGTTTTTAATTTAATAATTTTTTTACGATAATAGTATACTTATTATAATATTCGTTTTTGTTTGATTTTTGTTCGCATTGTTGTTATTGTATTCGGATATTGATTCGCAGACCTACGTGTGAAATTGGCGTGTTGCGATTATATTTTATACGAACGCGTTTTTATCGGATTCTTCTCCTTATAACGACGATGCCCAGAAGAAGAAAAAGAAAATTACGCTGTATATATATTATATGTATAAAAAAAACTAGGCCAATTGCTCTCGATGTATCGACATCAGTCGGTACAGTAGCAAATATCACCAAGGGAAATGTTTCGTATTATTATTATTCTCCCTCCCAATTACATCCCGTATATTATCATTATTATTATATAGAGCTAGAATAAAATAAAATACGACAATTTTTATTATTATTAAGTATTAACTGAGGCCAAACGCTGCTCCGTTGCAGCCGGTGACTGATGACTAGTTGCACGCGAACTCTACCGATTCTAAAACCCGTAATGTTTAACGTGTAAATTGTATACACTGCGATGACACACAGGCCTCATTGTGTTTAATAGACGACTGTTTTAAAATATTAATCTATTCCAATTTAACAGTACAGCTGTTGGATATAATAATTCTGCGCTACACCTACGCGACTTTTTTACTTTTTCTTTTTTCTCCCACCGTATTTTTAATATCCTAACCGGTGGCTATATCCGCTTTTCTTAAAAAAATTGAAATGTTTAAATAATTTGGGTAATGCGTTATTAAAACAAAATTGTCATTCGTTTACGCAAATTAGAAAAAAACACATTTTAGAATTATAACGTAGAGAGTTTTTTCGGAACACAAAATCACATTCGCTTGTTATTGATTAATACGTTCTAACATGCGATACGCACGTATACATTGTATTCCGTTAATTTTTGATTCAACCATTTAAATTTTAAAATAACACCATCGAGCCTAACTAGAATAAAATTTAACTATACGCTACCGCATATTTTTTCAATATTTATTAAATTGAATCTATTTCTATGTACTCGTAATATTGTGTTCGGAATTTTATGTTTTGGTATCACTATATTATGATCTGTGTACTTTGTATATTTCGTGTCTAAACAAATTTTCTTGATCCAATCAAAAAATGATAAAGAGCATTTTATTTTATAAGTTTAAGTTATACGTGTATATTGGATCTAATCGGTGCATTGGTAAGGTTATTTTTTCCCCCTTTCCGAAGTATTTGTTTCTTCCTCGAGAGCGATAAAATGACAGTGTTTTTTGATATATTGTTTAAATGGGAATTAACTAGAAATACAATTTTCATCTTTGAATAGTTGTAATTTCGTGGCACTAATACACGAGTAGGTATTATAATATAACTTGAAACTTATTATACCTATTTTTCGATTAAATAACTGTGTCAATTGTTTATGTTCTTTAATAATACATAGTTCTAATACGATATAATATTAGGTATATATTATATGGTGTTATATAAATTATAAATACACGCTTGAAGAACGTTAAAATAAAAAAAACAAAACAAATAGATAATTAAGATAACAATTACATTTTTTTAGAACACTTTACCAGAACAATTACAATATACCTAACTAAAAAAAATAATATTATTTAAATTCTTAGACAAAAAGTAAGAACATAGACCGGTGTTGACCATAATTTACCTACCACTATGTAGAATATTATAAATGTAGTATTATTTTTGATTTGAACGTATGGCGAAATTGTGTTTTAACAATGATTCTACGTTAAACATTTGAATTAAAAATAAGTATGGTTAAGTATACTTATATAATATATTCGTATTTTGAAGGATTCGGTGGTTAAAAGGTCATTGAACTGGATAACTAAAAAAAAAATGACCTTTATTGTGAATAACCACACATGTCAACTAGTATTAAAGTTACTCCGGCGAAATTTTTTGCAAATAAACTTACCATGTTTATTGCTCCAAAAAGTGTTGACCAAAAGAAAAAACACATTGTAAAACTAATATAATAATTCTCTTGCGTTGCTTAAGGGTTCGTAAGTATCCGTGAAATGTATTTCATATTTTACCCTATTTTGTGTTTATAAGTAAATATTTTTCATTAAAATTTAAAATTGAACTGCCCAGTTTTTGTTAAAAACCGAAACTAGTTTCACTTGTTCAAGAATTGTTTCGTGGTCAAATCTGAAGTACCTGTAATTTTATACATAAATTAAAGATTTATAGAATACGAAACGAGCACTTATCAGTTGTTATGTACAAAACTTCTTCGTTCTCGAACTAACTGCTAGCGCTTGAATGTGACTGACGAGTTTTGTACTATACCCTGTCTCACGAAATGTATTTATTTATTTATTTAACAAAGAAATATATTATATTAATTCACGATTTATATCATAATGAATGCATGGATTAGTATAATTCTAATAAATTATAATTTAGTACCTATTGACCTATCACTTACCAGCAGTAAAACCTACATTCACCTACATTCACTCTTTATGTTCCCTTTTGTAAATTATAGTTTGACTATAAGAATTAATAAATAAATTCATTAAGTACAAATTAATATGCATTTTTTTTGACAATTAATTTGATTACTTGAACTATAATTTTTTTTATATGAACATCATTTATTAATTATTATTATTATTTATTAGTATAATATAATTTAATTATTTTAAATTTTTGATATTAAAATTACCTACCTACCTACCTATCTATTATAATACTAGTAACCTAATTGTTTACTAATTTTGATAGTTTTTCAAACTTGTTTTTCGCTTTTGAGTTGATGGTTGGAAAATAATGATGTTACCTCATCCTCATTATAATATAAGAGGAGAAAATATCCTTAACCACATAATTTTTGTGTTCACTACATAGAAATGGAATCAAATCATTAAATTTAAAAAAAAAAAACATCAATAGTTTCTACAAATACATTTTGACTTTTAACTTTTAACATATTTGAAAAATCACATATCAATTATTTGTCTAATAAGTATAAATAATTTGTTATCAGGATGTGTCGAAAATCCTCTAGATTTTAAATTTATTAGTAGAGCATTTGATGAATTACAACTGTTTTCTGGATTTTTTATGTCAGATAAACATGTTTAACAATTTGTTTTTTTATTAATTCTTCTTGCCAGGTATCTATTAAATGAAAGTAGAGGTATCATTCAATTAACTTTTAATAAACCTATATTCTTTATCATTATATAAAAGATCACCTCCTATTGAATGAGAAGACTGAAGTGTTTAACGTATTGGCATCAATAACTAGATAAAAAAAGACGTCCTAGGATAATGGGGACGGGTGCAGCTACTGTTATAGAAAATTTAATGTATACCTGTAAGCAACGATAAACTATTGCTTAAGAAAGTATAATTTTGAGCGGAGCTCAGTTGATAGTAATGCTTTGTCAACAATTTATGTGTCATATTATAGTAAAATAATTAAATAAGCTCTATATATTTTCTTTAATAATATTTGTTTAATGTTGTACTGATTTTCCCAGTTCCTACGTTTTTCCCGGTTTTCCCAGATTTTTACATTTGCTGGGAAAACTCTTGGGGAAATCAAAAAATTACCTTTTAAAAGTACCTCCCTAGTAAAATATTCTTTTAGAAATATTGCTATCTATAAGTTAAAACAAAATTACTAGTGGAAAAGTTGTACACAGAAATAAAAATCGTAATATTATATTCGTTATATTTCGTAAATTTTCCCGTTTTTTGTCTTTCGGTTTTTTGCATTTGATTCGACAACTCTTGAAAACATCGAAATCTAACCTCTCTAAGTTATCTCCCCACATCGATTTTCTTTCAGAAAATATGCTACACGTAATTATTCGAGCAAGTCTTCTGGTAATATAAAGATACAAAAAACTAAACATCTTTGTAAAATTATAGGCTTCTTCGCTCTACTCAAAATATAAAATTTCAACTCATTATCTAGATAAGTAGCACACACACACACACACACACTCAAAAGTAGCATTGTCGTCAAAATTATGTATATCATAAAATGCTAGCTTATGTTAGCCCACCGTTTAGCTGACATAATAATTAATTATTTTTTAAGTATTAAAGTATTACTTTAACAATTTTTACAATTAAAAACTTAAAAATACTGTTGAATATAAATATTGATAAATGTATTAGTTAAAATTTTCGCTGCTAATCAGTTTTTAACGTTCTAGTGTCTATTCGATGAAGAATAACGTTCAAGAACAATATTTTATTGAAAACTGGCTTTCGTTGTGTATCCTGTAGATTATAGATTCTAATTCGTTTCCATGTATAAACATTAAAATAAATTTTTATTAAATTTTAAATTGTCTTTTATGGACAGTATTCATGGTTTTATTTTAAAACTAGCGTTTTATATTAGCATTTTAAAGAAATAATCAAAATTAGAAGGGCTAAATAAAAAATAATTTCATCTCGCTCTATAGTTTTTATTGCAACGACCACATCTACATATCCGTTTAGTAGCGTTGGCCTATGTAAAATGAGTGTGTTTCAATTTTAAAAATATTCTCAACAGCTTTAAAAAGTGGTTACCTAGTTCTATTTTTGTAGTTCGTACGTCGCCTTGTAACTGCTCTCAAAAATACTTACTATACTCCTACCATGCATATTCCGTCCTGATCCTAACTATAGTTCCATACACACACACGCCATTTATCACGTATATGCACACGTGGTTTTACTCGTAAAGACGATTGTCGGACTCTTAATGTATTATAATATTATGTACTTATATGATAGATGAGTGGGGTAGGCGTAATTAATCGTTTATTTAGTCTTTGTATTTCATACATTGGAATGCGGTATACAAACACGTCCACGAAAATTAATGTCAAAAGTATCATTATTATTATTATTACGTTTATAATACCTACCTACATTTTAATTTTTCCAAAACTAGTTGGTTTGTTCTACATTCTTGCGTCCCCGTGAATCTTTGTAGTATTGCGAACTAATAATAATACAACACGAAGTTAAATAATTGTATTATTATTAATTATGAGTATTAGACTTTTTAATTATTATGCCACGCTTATTATATAAGTCTATACTAGTCTATATACCAGTATATCTTAACTTGGGGGCCATCAACTAATTATTTTGAAAAAATATAAAATATTGGGTCGCCGTGTATAAAGTATATATTTTGGGGGTTGCTAAAAAGTTTAATATTCATTTAGATGGTTTTCGCTACAGTAAAAAGGTTGAGAAACACTGGTCTATAGAAATCAGGACCACAATGATAAGTTACAGGTGCCACTCTTTGAATTAAATTCACATATACGCTCAGCGAATTTTCTAGAATTTTGTGTGCGTGCTTATAATATGAATACTTAAAATATTTTGTGTAGACCATCATCGTTAGGATATCCGGTAATAATGGCAAGACGTGATTACCGGATTAGTTTAACTCAACGATAATAATATTATTATTCAGTGTTAGATTTCTTTTATAGATGAAACGTAATCTTATATTTTATTCATCCGTAGTTCTTATTAATATCGTATTATTGAGTCCCATCATAATATATTATTTTCAAAGAGTAAATCACTGATCAATACTGTGTTCACCAGATTCCAGAATACCAAGATTTCCTGTAAGGTTAGGTACTTTTTTTTGGAATTTGTTTGTTAGATTATTTAAGAAAAAGGCAGCTCTAAAATGTTACATCTCAGCTATTTTTTGTCACTCTTATTTTAAGGGTTTAAACTTCTACCTACTTTAAATTTTCAAATGGCAATCTATATTAAAAATTCCATAAATAGATGCAGTATTAGTAAATATCAATTTTGATGTTGACATTTTTAATTTTCGTCAACCCGCTGACAAGATATTCCACTTTTAAGTTTTGGCGGAAAGAGAGTGGTGGAACACTATTAAAATGCCGTGCCGTTATACAAATGATGCATCACTATACGCTACTCACTTGGTTAGAAAATAAAATAGTAATATAACATTTGAGAGCTATTAATTTCTTAAATGTTCCAAAGAACAAATTACGAAAAAAGCTAATATTTTCCAAGATAATGAGTGTCTTATGCGTTAATCACTCTTAAATAAATTAATTTATGGGTGATATTATTATATACTTTTGAAATGTTATTGTATAAATAATATTATAAATCATTTACATCGATTTATATGATTGTATTATGTATTACAGGTTGAAAAAACGGTTTAGAGGTGTGTAACTGTCATGACGACAGACATCTCTGTGGTCCGGTGGGACCCGGCTATACAACAAGACGGAACCGGAATTGTCGAAGATTATGAATATGATGGCGGAAACTCGTCTTCCAGACTATTCGAAAGATCCAGAATAAAGGCATTAGCCGGTGAGGTTTTAATTAAAGTAGTAGTCTGAGTTAATGAACTAATGAAAATCGTATCAAAAGACGTTTTGTTATTTTCAAATATACAGTAGCGTTTTATTGGAGGGGATTGTACCCTTTAGTATGTATGCCTTCACCCCTCGAATATTACTCATGTCATTCTTACACACCGGGGGTTCTGACTTATATACACTATTATAATACATGGTTAATTTGTTTGCAGATGAAAGAGAAAGTGTTCAGAAAAAGACATTTCAAAAATGGGTGAACTCGCATTTAGTTCGGGTTCACTCTCGGATCGGAGATTTATACATAGACCTCAGAGATGGAAAAATGCTCATAAAGCTATTAGAAGTCTTATCTGGAGAACGATTAGTAATGAGTGCCTATTAGAAATTATTGATATTAAAAGTAATTTCTTTTTTAATGTTTTTAATTTGGTTATTTTTAGCCTAAACCTACCAAAGGAAAAATGAGAATACATTGTTTAGAAAACGTGGATAAAGCTCTGCAATTTTTGAAAGATCAGAGAGTACATTTGGAAAACATGGGTTCCCATGATATTGTTGATGGAAACCCAAGACTTTCATTGGGTCTTATATGGACCATTATTCTTAGATTCCAAGTACATATACACATTCCAATTGGTTGTAATATGAATTGTATAAAAGTTATAATTTTTACATGTTAACTTTAGATTCAAGATATTACTATTGAAGAAACTGACAATAAAGAGACTAAATCAGCAAAGGATGCTTTGCTTTTGTGGTGCCAGATGAAAACAGCAGGATATCACAATGTCAATGTTCGGAACTTTACCACTTCTTGGCGAGATGGTCTAGCCTTTAATGCTATCATTCACAAACACCGTCCTGATATTGTTCAATTTGAAAAACTTAGCAAATCTAATGCTATGTACAACTTGAATAATGCCTTCAATACTGCTGAAGATAAATTAGGAATTGTAAAGTTATTAGATGCTGAAGATGTATTTGTTGAACAACCAGATGAAAAATCAATTATAACATATGTTGTCACATACTATCATTACTTCAGTAAAATGAAACAAGAAACAGTTCAAGGAAAGAGAATTGGGCGTGTTGTAGGAATAGCTATGGAAAATGAACGTACTGCCCAAGAATATGAACGTTTAACTAGTGATTTATTACAGTGGATTAAACAGACAAAAGAATCATTAGCAGAGAGAAAATTTTTAAATTCTTTAAATGGTGTTCAACAACAATTGCAACAATTTAACAACTATAGGACGGTTGAAAAACCACCAAAATTTGTCGAAAAGGGAAATCTGGAAGTATTGCTTTTTACATTGCAGTCTAAAATGAGGGCTAATAATCAAAAACCATATACCCCCAAAGAAGGAAAAATGATTTCAGATATTAATAAAGCTTGGGAGCAATTAGAAAAGGCTGAACATGAAAGAGAGTTAGCATTAAGAGAAGAAATAATAAGACAGGAAAAACTTGAACAGCTAGCTCAGAGATTTAACAGAAAAGCAAGCATGCGAGAGACTTGGTTAAGTGAAAATCAACGGCTTGTTTCACAAGTTAGTTTTTAAATTTATTTAAATTTTCTTAAAAAAAAAAAAAAAAAAAAAACCAATATTGATAGAATGCTTTAAAATTGTAATGAGTTCTAATTCTAAATAATGATTTTAGGATAATTTTGGTTTGGATTTGGCAGCTGTAGAAGCAGCAGCAAAGAAACACGAAGCTATTGAAACAGATATATTTGCATATGAAGAACGAGTAGAAGCTGTTGTTACGGTTGCACAAGAATTAGAAACTGAGGATTACCATGACATTGTCCGTATAAATGCCAGGTATATATTTATTAATTAAATATTAATTTTGAAATAATTACTTAATAATATGTTAACATATTTTTTCTTAGAAAAGATAATGTTCTTCGTTTATGGAATTATCTACTTGAACTTCTAAAAGCCAGACGTCATCGTTTAGAGTTATCATTACAATTGCAACAAAACTTCCAAGAAATGTTATACATACTGGATTCTATGGAAGAATTGAAAATGAGACTTTTGTCTGATGATTATGGCAAACATTTAATGGGAGTTGAAGATCTTCTTCAAAAACATAGTCTTGTAGAAGCTGACATAAACGTTTTAGGTGAAAGAGTAAAAAGTGTTGTGCAACACTCGCAAAGATTTTTAGATGAAGAAAATACGGAGGGTTATAGACCATGTGATCCGGCTGTTATTATTGAAAGAGTTCAAGAACTTGAAGATGCTTATAGTGAACTTGTTAAATTGGCTGTGGAAAGAAGAGCTCGTCTTGAAGAAAGCAGGAAACTATGGCAGTTCTATTGGGATATGGCTGATGAAGAAAATTGGATTAAGGAAAAAGAACAAATTGTTTCTGCTGGAGATATTGGTCATGACTTGACCACTATTAATCTATTGCTTTCAAAACATAAAGTAAAACACATATTAACCAATTTGTATAAATATATAAATGTGTAATAGATATTTAAATATTTTTTGCCATTAATTTGTATTAGGCACTTGAAAATGAAATACAAAGTCATGAAAGTCAGTTACTCGAAGTAGTAAAGGTTGGAGAAGATTTGATTAATAGCAATCATTTTGGTGCTGATCGTATACAGGAACGAGTATCCAACACACATTCCATGTGGGAACATTTAATCACTTTAACCAAACAAAGACGTAAACGTTTGGAAAATGCAGTTGATTATCACCAAGTAATATTAATATTTTTTAATAATAAAAACTCTAAAGTTTAAATATAAACTTCTAATTATTTTTACAATGAATTCTCAGTAGTTCTGAATTTAAAAAATATACACAGTCAAATCAATAAAAAATTATTAACACTAAAGTATTAAAGAAATTAGGAAATTGTATGAGAATTAATTATTTTTGAAAATTGACTGTAATTACCTATATAGATTGTAAATGTTTATACTTGAGTTCCAATGTTACTTTAAAATAGTGGTTTGCTGATGCTGACGATGTTGATATATGGATGTTAGATACATTAAGACTAGTGTCATCTGAAGATGTGGGTCGCGATGAAGCTAATGTCCAATCTTTGTTGAAGAAGCACAAAGAAGTATTATTATTACACAATTATTCTGAGTTGTTTTTAAACTACATAGTATTTTCTTTAATGTTTTTAGGTAAGCGAAGAATTAAAATCTTATTCACAAACGGTGGAAGCTTTACGTTCTCAAGCTAATCTGTTAAGTGCTGAACCAGGAGCACCAACAAGTGGTCCTGAAGTGAATGAGCGAATGTCATCTATTGACAAGCGCTATAAAGAATTAGTTGAATTAGCTAAACTACGACACCAGAGACTTTTGGATGCCCTTTCTTTGTACAAGCTCTTCAGTGAAGCTGATGCTGTACAACAATGGATTGGTGAAAAGGTAATTAAAAATAAAAATAAAAAAGAAACAGATTTATTTGATTGAATTTTTAATGTGCTTGTACATTTTAGAATCGCATGTTGGAAACCATGAGCCCTGGTAAAGATATAGAGGACGTTGAAATTATGAAACATAGATACGATGGTTTTGACAAAGAAATGAATTCAAATGCATCACGTGTTGCTGTTGTCAATCAATTAGCACGGCAATTACTTCATGTTGAACACCCTAACTCAGATGAAATTGTGAACAGACAAAATAATGTAAGAAATACAATTATTGCAGTTGTTATTTAAAAATAAATATATGTATGTTTGTTATAGTTGAACCATGAATGGGCTGATTTAAGGGATAAGGCTGAAGCTAAACGTGACCAACTTAATTCTGCTCATGGTGTTCAAACTTTCCATATTGAATGTAGAGAAACTATTTCATGGATTGAAGACAAAAAACGAATTTTGCAATCTACAGACAGTTTAGAAATGGATCTTACTGGAATAATGACATTACAGGTATATAATTGGGTACAAAATATGCACCTTTTTTTGTTTTTTTTTTTTGAAAGTCTTCAGTATCCCATGAATATACCCATCATAATATATAAAATATATAAATTAACAAAATTATATAAATATTTGCAGTCCACATTCTTATGTCGAGTAGAGACCAGATTTATATTCTCTTATAATCCACAAAAAGATGTTTTAAAACATCAAAAAATCTCTGAAAAAAGTATTTATAAAAATTTAAAAAGCAAAAATGATAGAGGAGTTTCTCACTAATGACTTTAACTTATTAAATTAAACTTCCTAACACTACAAAATTGATTAATATAAAATATTTTCTTTTAAATAAAATTGTCCGTATTATAAAAAAAAAAATAATTTTTTATTAATAATTTTTGTGGTGTTAGAAAATTTTATTGACAAATTAAATTCATTAGAGGGGGGACTATTAAATCCCTCTATTATTTTTTATATTTTTAAGTGGTTTTTTCTGAGGCTTTTTGACGTCTTGAAGCGCTTTTTTGTGGATTGTAAGAACATATAAATCTCCCGTCTCTACTTCTGAGTAATATATAAAATTAATTTGGTTATCTTTATTGTTTCCAGAAATATTACAACAGGTTTAATAATTCATTAATTTACAATTGTATTAAATATGACTTTTTTTTTTTTTTACAATAGCGTCGTTTATCTGGGATGGAGAGAGATTTAGCTGCTATTCAAGCCAAATTAGACTCATTAGAGTCTGAAGCACAAATGAATGAGAAGGAGCATCCTGAAGAAGCTGCTGTAATCCGTGAAAGAATAGAAACAATTCAAAAAGATTGGGAAGAGTTAACACAAATGGTGAGAATATAAATTGTTTAATTATTTATTATAAATTAACTTAATTTATTATTTTAGTTGAAAGAACGGGATTCTAAATTAGAAGAAGCTGGCGATCTGCATCGTTTCCTACGTGATTTGGATCATTTCCAAGCTTGGTTAACTAAAACTCAGACTGATGTAGCTTCTGAAGATATTCCATCTTCATTATCAGATGCTGAAAAACTTCTTTCCCAACATCAAGCTATCCGTGAAGAAATTGATAATTATACCGCTGATTATACCCAAATGATGGAATATGGAGAAAAAGTTACAGCTGTATGTGTAGTCTTATAGTTGTATAATTATTTACTTAAATGAGTATTTTTATTTTAGGAACCTGGAACACAAGACGATCCTCAGTATATGTTCTTGAGAGAAAGACTCAAGGCATTACGTGATGGATGGCAAGAATTACACAAGATGTGGGAGAATAGGCAACAACTTCTTTCCAAATCACTTAATCTACAAATGTTTAACCGTGACGCTCGTCAAGCTGAAGTACTACTTTCTCAACAAGAACATGCTTTATCTAAAGATGAAGTTCCAGTAAGTGTTTAATTTACTTTTAGAGTTGACTGTTTAGTAATGAAAGACTGTTAATTTTTAAATATATATATATTTTTTTAGTCAAATCTGGAACATGCTGAAAACTTGATTAAACGTCATGAAGCTTTCTTGACTACAATGGAAGCCAATGAAGATAAGATAAATGCTGTCACTCAATTTGCTACTAAACTTGTGGATGAAGATCATTTTGAATCCGATAAAATCAAAAAGAAAGCAGCATCCATACAAGAACGGCGAGATGCTAATCGTGATAAAGCCCAAGAACTCATGGAACAACTCAAAGACCAGTTACAACTTCACCAATTCCTTCAAGATTCTGATGAACTCCAACAATGGATCCAAGAAAAGAAGTTTACTGCCCAGGACGAAACTTATAGAAGTGCGAAGACTGTACATAGTAAATGGACTCGGCACCAAGCATTTGAGGCAGAAATTGCATCTAACAAAGATAGATTAGACAGAGTACAGCAGTCAGGAGAAGAGTTAATGAAAGAGAAACCTGAATTGGCTCAAATAATCAAACCAAAAATATCAGAAATGCTGGGTCAGTTTGATGATCTCGAGAAGACCACTAAAGAAAAAGGTGAACGTTTGTTTGACACCAACAGAGAAGTTCTCATACATCAGACTTGTGAAGATATTGATTCTTGGATGGATGACTTAGAGAAACAAATTGAAGCTGCTGATACTGGAACTGATTTGGCTTCAGTTAATATACTTATGCAAAAACAACAAATGATTGAAACACAAATGGCTGTAAAAGCTAAGCAAGTTGGTGAACTGGAAACTCAAGCTGAATATTTAAAGAAGACTGTTCCTGAAAAGGTTGAAACAATTATTCCAAAAAAGACTAAAGTGGAAGAAAGATTTGAACAACTTAAGGAACCATTAAAGGTAAGACAAAGACAGCTGGAGAAAAAGAAAGAAGCATTCCAATTCCGAAGAGACGTTGAAGATGAAAAATTATGGATAGCTGAAAAGACTCCAATGGCTACTTCAACTGAATATGGAAATAGCTTATTTAATGTTAATATGTTACAAAAGAAAAATCAAGTAATAAAAATTAAATTTATTTGTTCATTAAATTGTTGATTTGTTTTAATGCTATTAAATATATTTTCTATTTTTATTTTAGTCTTTGGGCAATGAAATCGATAATCATGAACACCGTATTAACCTTGTCTGTAGCAATGGTCAAAAGTTGATTGACGAAGGACATGAAGATGCCTCTCAATTTACAGATCTCATACACGACCTAACACAACGTTGGCAACAACTTCAACAGGCTGTTGATCATCGCAGGGAAATGTTACTTCAATCTGAAAAGGCCCAACAAGTATGTTTTATTTATTTTATGTACAAACCACTTATAAACAATATTGCAAGTAACACCATTCCTAGTAATGTAAATGGTTAGATTTATATCTTATATGCACTACATTTAGTTGTTTATAATGTTAATTACAATGATAAGCCGGATAAAACAATATTTTTTTGAAATGAAAATTGGTTTTTACATTAGACTATAACAATATTATTGTATATACATATACATTTATAAACAACAAATTTGATTAATCAGGTTTTGAAATAATTCATAATTTACTTTATCTTTAATGAATAATGTTGTATACATGGTATATGACACATTATTTTTTTTAGTTTTGTTTCTAAACATTTAGATACATTCTGTTTATGATGTTTCGTTAAAAATGTCAAATAAAATATTCCTTTGTTTTTTTTTTATTAAAAATAAAAATAAAATAAATTATTAAATTAAAATAACTAAATAAAATAAAAAAATCAAGTGTTTTTTGTTAACTAGATATAGCGATCTGAATTCTTAGGTCCCTTGATCATTGGGAAATTCTACTATTTTTAAATATAATAATGTGTTATATACAAATTGTATTGTATTAAGTATTAACACTATTTTGATTTATGCATGTTAGGTCAATTAAAATAATATCAATGTAGTTGAACTACATCAAGGTGAAATTTTTGGTGTAGATTGTACTTGTCAATAGTGATAGAATCAATTTTAAATTACTTCAAGTATACTTAAATTTGAATTTATTATATTTGCAGTACTTCTTCGATGCCAGCGAAGCAGAGAGTTGGATGGGTGAACAAGAATTATATATGATGGTGGAAGATCGTGGAAAAGACGAAATTTCAGCCCAAAACTTGAAAAAAAAGCACGAATCTTTAGAGTTGGCTGTTGACAATTACGCTGACACAATTAGACAGTTGGGTGAAACTGCTCGTCAACTCACTAGTGAAATGCACCCTGAAAGTGACCAAATAGCTGTTAAACAATCTCAAGTGGATAAATTATATGCTGGTCTAAAGGATTTAGCTGGAGAACGCAGAGCAAAATTAGATGAAGCTTTGAAATTGTATATGTTGCAACGTGAAGTGGATGATTTAGAACAGTGGATTACCGAACGCGAAATTGTTGCTGGTTCACATGAACTTGGTCAGGACTATGATCATGTTACAGTAAGTTATTTATTTGTCATTTTTATTCTTCTCCTTCGCTTTTAGCTTAACTATTTGGGGTCAGTTAAATTTGTTCTAAACTTCGAATTGACCAAATCTCCCACCTTATATACTCCGTTTATTGTCATATAATTCTCAATCGCATCCAAACACCATTTTTTTTCGGGCTTCCTCTGAACCTCTTCCTCCTATGTTTATTTTCATTACAATTCTTACTGTTTTAGATTCCTTTTTCCCTGTGTGCCTAAACCAACTCAGTCTATTTTCTCTTATTTTGTCTACTATTGAAGCCACAACTTTTGTGAAGCAACCTCTTATGCTCTTATGTACTCATCCCATCTTATCTAACATCTTATCTTATCATCTTATCTTATCTTTTCTCATCACTCCTCTCATAAACCTAAGTATTCTCATCTCTGATACATTTATACTCTGTTATATTTTTTTGTTTACTGTTTATTTTTTTTCACGCTTCAAACTATAGTTAATTAAAAATGGCATGAGGCTAATCAGAATTTAATTAATAAGGAACAAATATGAAAATCTTAAATCAGTTTGATGCACCGTTCTAATAAATCATTCATTAATATACAACTTTCAGCTTTTCCATGAACAGTAATAACAACTTTATCATTTCCCACCAACTCGGATCTTTTGGTATAAAATTAGGTGTTATATCATACAATGAAAAAAACTGTGCACTATTTTTAGTGATAAATCTGATAAATTTTTATTTAAAATGTGTTTTTTATTGAATGCTTCAAGGAGGGTTATCATTTTGAAGAACGATCACAATTCTTTTTTCTTTGACTGATATGCGTGGATTGAATATGGTTAAACCTGACAACCATTTTATTCAAGTACCATAAAGTGGCCCGAAAATTTCTTGTAGCTCTCCTCAGAATTTTTATGATTGGATTGATATTCAATCAGATATTTCAACAAATTACGATCATTCAATGATGCCGCAATCCGTTTTGACAAGTACACCACTTTTGAATGTAGACTCTGATAACAAAAACATTAAACTTGCAGGGACCATTGAGCTGAGCTGCTTTCTTTCAATTAAAATTGATCACGAAAAATGTATATTTTTAATTTTTTAAACAATATGTAAGTTTTGCCATCTACCATGGTAGGCTCCTGGAGTGCGTATTTTTATTGTTTTTTCAGTTTTTTCCCTCGAGGGTTGGTATACTTATGATAAATTCAGTAGTTCTTTGTAGTCATAATGTGCCATGGTAATTATTCAAATGGTTAGGTTTAATATTCTAAACGAATATAAAAAATATAATAAAGCAGACTTTTTGATCTTTAGGTTAAGGAAAAATAAAATTAAAAAAATTCTGTATTCTTTTTCTATTGTCTATTTTTACATTTTTTTTATTTTTGTATTTTATTTATTATTATTTTATTGATAAATTTAATTAAGATTATATTGTAATCTTTTCAACAAATAAAAAACTTTTTCAAGGGTAGTTCTAACTGATAATTTACCAACATTATGTAACCATTTGGCTAATAACTATCAATTTTAATTTTTTTCTCAACAACTAATAGGATCATATTTGTTTTTTATTAGATTTTCATCATTTAACTTCATGCCAATTTCAGTTAACTATAATTTAAAGTGTAAAAAAATTAAAATACATACAAATTGTGCTATTTATCTAAAAACGCTGCTCGCAGACTGGAATTTTTTTTTCTTTCACAAAATTAGTAGATTTGATAGTATTGTCATACCTGTACAAATTAAATATAAACATATGCCCCCCTCCCCAAAAAAAAAAAAAAAAAAATTTTTTTTGGTCCATCCTAATACAGACGTATCATAATATATTTATTTATGAACATTTTGTCCAAAGAGTATAGCCCATATAAATTAATATATATGCATATTTTATATAGTTATTGTGGGAGAGATTTAAGGAATTTGCTCGTGATACTGAAGCAACTGGTAGTGAACGCGTGGCTACAGTTAACGGTATTGCTGATCAACTCATCAACATTGGTCACAGTGATTCAGCCAAAATTGCTGAATGGAAGGATAGTCTTAATGAACAATGGCAAGATTTACTTGAACTAATTGAAACTAGAACACAAGTATATAATGAAAATTATTATTTTTTAATCTTATATTGGTTAATCAATATTTAATGCATAATATATTGTATTCTTTTTAGATGTTGGTTGCTTCGCGAGAGCTCCACAAATTTTTCCACGATTGTAAGGATATGGTTAGTCGTATTGCAGAGAAAAGTCATGAAATGTCTGAAGATCTTGGCCGTGATGCAGGTTCTGTCCATACATTACAACGTAAACACCAAAGTTTCTTACAAGATTTACACACACTCAACACACAAGTTCAAACTATCAGTGAGGATTCTGCCCGGTTACAAACATCATATGCTGGAGACAAAGCAAAAGAAATTACTGGACGAGAAGCAGAAGTTGTGAATGCTTGGGCTGCTTTACAATCAGAATGTGAATTACGCAAACAGAAATTAGCTGACACTGGGGATTTACACAAGTTCTTTAATATGGTCAGAACATTAACCTTATGGATGGATGACGTTGTTAGACAAATGAACACGTCAGAAAAACCAAGGTGATTTGGTGTTACTTTAAATTTTTATTGTAATGTTTATTAATGTTTATTTTTTTTTTTTTAGAGATGTTAGTGGTGTAGAATTATTGATGAACAATCATCAGAGTTTAAAAGCTGAAATTGACACCAGAGAAGATAATTTCACTGCTTGCATTTCTTTAGGCAAAGAACTACTTTCAAGAAATCATTATGCTTCTAATGAAGTAAATTATTTCTTTGTTCATTATAAGATTGACATGTATTTTAAAAAAAAAAAAATGATTAAATTTTTCTAGATAAAAGATAAACTAATGTTACTGAATACGCAGAGAAACTTATTACTTAATAGATGGGAAGAACGGTGGGAAAATCTCCAGCTTAGTACGTATTTTGTTTTTGATATTATTGTTGTGTTACTATTGTATTTGTTGTATATTCTTTAGTTTTGGAAGTATATCAATTTGCCAGAGATGCTGCTGTCGCCGAAGCATGGTTATTGGCTCAAGAACCATACATTATGAGTTTAGAATTAGGAGTATGTTATTTAATTGGCTCTATTATTATAAAACTATTGTCTATGCAATTTCTCTATTTAGATGACCATTGATCAAGTGGAAAATTTGATAAAGAAACACGAAGCATTCGAAAAATCAGCCATAGCACAAGAGGAGAGGTTCTGTGCTTTGGAACGATTAACTACAGTGAGTTTAAATAATATTAATTTTGTATTAAAATGTATTATTTAAAATAACTAAGAATGTTGTGGTTTATTTAGTTTGAATTAAAAGAAATCCAACGTAGAAAAGAAGAAGAAGAACAAAAACGACAAGAAGAGCTAGCTAAACAAGCAGCTCAAGCTGAAGCTGAAGCAGCTGAAAAAGCTGCGTATGACCATTGTTATTTATTTTTTTTCTTTATAATAGGATAAAAATAGTCTATCCTTCTATTCTTTACTAATATTTATAGTATAGTAGCTATATTATTTTATTTATTTGCATAGAGCGGAAGAAGCATCAGAAGCAGACGGAAAACAAACAAAAGATGGGGAAGGTCGTCCTGGTAAGTTAATATTTTTAGTACATATAAATGCATGCAAAATAATGGGTTTAAAAGAATTTGATAAAATTAATGGCGCTAATAATAATAATAAAATCATGTACTTATGAGTATAATTTGCTGACAAATTTGCATTATTTTATCTAAGCACACATCTGTGCGCCATCTAAGTTTCAGCACATATACTTTTCTTAAATAAGAGTGAGTTTTTTTTAGTTAAAATCGAAAATCATATATATAACTTATAATTTTATTCATAGTATAATTGTCCAAAGATAAATAAGAAATCTGAAAATTGTAAAATATTATCATATGTTGGGTTCTTTCATTGGATTGGTTTCCCTTCTAATATGATATCAAATAAAATGATGTATATATATAATCGTATTAACTTATTGTGTTAATTGTACAAATTGTAAAGTTTTTTAGAGAAAAAAAAAAGTGTAAAAAATATAACTATTGTCATATATTATAAATAGGTATTTATTATGCACTAGGATTTTTAATATTGTAAGTGTTTGTAAGATATTTATTTAAAGTATTTATTAATAGAAAAAAAACTATTTTTCTTATAAAAAATCAGATTATTGAAATTAAAAGTAGCTGTAATTTGCTATCTGAAGGTTTAGTTAAAACTATATTAGTCTCACGTTTGCCATAATTTGTCCATGTCCAACAAAGTTAACACATTTTTTCAAAATGTCGCAAGTGCCCCTTAACTATTTTTTAATTGTTGAAATCAACCATAAACTGTTATCAAACATTCAAAAATTTCTGTATCAGTTTTGGCTAATTTAAAATTTAATTTAATTTTAGCCCGTTCAAATTTCGATATTTAAAAAAAAAAAAAAATCATAAATTCTGTTTCGTATAAACAAATGAGAGACTAATGTAGTTTTAACCACTAAACCTACAGATAACAAACCAAATTTATTTTTTATTTCTGTAATCAGATTTTTGATAAGAAAAATTGTCTTTTATTCTATACATTAATTCCAGGAATTTTTTGATCCTCTTATGCATATCATTATATACCATGTGTTGAGGTGTATTGAAACTAATTAAACATGATGTAAATAAACATAATGATATTACAGCTACAACAAATTATTAGTATACAACAAAATATTAGTACTTGCATTTACATTTGATCTCATCATTAACTTTGTAAAATTCATCAAGGAACAAAAGACCACTTGTATATGTGCAAATAAAAAAATTTAAGGGTTATATTATAAACCTTTGGTAGAATAAATCAAATTCAAAAAACAATATTTACACATGTATAATATGAACATAATATTGTTTTTCTGTTATTATTTGCACGCTTGCGTTCTCTAAATCTAACATTAGCGTCGATACGTAAACCTCCACCCACTAACCTCGCATTGACATCGCCGATTGAAAAACCTACTGCAGGTCAGTCAAACAATAATACTTAAAACAAATAAAATGATTATAGTATGTTATTTATTTGTTATTCTTATCGATACTGCATTGCATGTATTTTATATTTGCTTAAGATAAAATATAGATTCTGCCTATACATATTCCATATGGACATGACATGCATGACTAGAAAATATTTTATTTTCTTATTAGTAGTTTATTTAGGCGTTTATTTTTTTTTTGTTTTTCTCTGGCATGGAGTCAAATTGAAAATGTTTGTTATTAACATTTGTAGTGCATGACAGCTCTGCATCGAGTAGGAAGAGCATTGGCAGTCCCGCTACACCCACAGGGGTCGCTAGATCTGCATCTACATTGCCCTCAAGTAAGTATTTTGGCTGTCTCGAGCATACTGCTTGCTTCTTTCATTATACATAATTTTGTATTTTTCTCTAACGTAAAAAGTGCTTTCATGTTTAGGCATGAGACTTAATGACGTTTTCATTTTAGTTTGCTTGTTTGTAAAAGTATTTTTGTTTGTGTGTGTATTTTTAAAAACGTATAGCTTCGCGAAACCAATTAGTCAAAGATCGTAACAAGGACAGGTCTCGGTCAAAGTCGCCGTTTCGCAGTTTCCGGTGGAAAAAATCACCGCCAAAGAGCCCGTTGTCAGCTGTGTCAGCCAGCGATGACGAGGCCATCGTTGAACCCACTTCAGGTATTGTAAATATTAAACGTGTGACCGGCGGCAATATCTGCCGGAACTTTGCGTGTAAGTCTTATGCATGATTACTATAAAATAATACTTAATATGTTACATGATAACTACAATGGCCGCAAAAATTTGGGATGTATGTGTGTGTGTGTGTGTGTGTGTGTATATGTACTACTTCAAAACTGAAATGCTTACTTCAGAACATTACATTTTTTTTATATTTGTGTCATGATTATTTTACAGATCAATCAGCCACTGAAGCTGATAGTGAAATTCTAGAAGGAATACTCAACAGGAAGCACGAATGGGAATCTACCACAAAAAAAGCATCAAATAGGTAATTGTCCCGTTTTCCAGAAATTTGTAGGAGGGGGGATAGAAAAAAAAATAAAATAGAAGTATTATCTAATAGTATGTGATAAATATAATAATAAAATTGAATGTACAAATATAGAAAATAATTAATAAAGAAAAGCATATTCTATACCTATTAATTATTTTCTGTGTATATTAAATTTTGTTATTTTTTTTATTTATTTATACTTAAACCGTTTATTCATTAAATATTAATAGTAAAGACCTTTTTTCTTCATACAAATATTTTCTACATTCAGTTCAAAATAATAATGTATCTTATTGTGAAGGCTGCGTCTGGTTCCCAATTATAATCTTGTCATATTTGAGCATAACTCTTTAAAGTTGTAAATCAATTGCAGCTGACCGGTACAATGGCAAACCTGTTTGTTCCACTGCTCGGGTTGGTTCTTATTCTAAATTGTGTAAAACTCTGGTTTCTTTTCTCTACACTCAACCAAAATACAGCACCATACAAGTTCTTCTTGTGTTGATCATCGGTTTCTTTTTTTTTTTTTTCAAAAATTACAACCTTTTTTTCCCCAGTAATCAATGATTCATATAATTTCGTCTATGATTTCTGTTAGTCCAATAAAATCTTTCATTTCACATCCACTAGGTATCAATGTACACTCGATCAGATGGTTTGATGTTTGTTTCTCTCCATACTCGCAATTTGCACTGCCAGTGATTTCCACCTATTTAGATTTTCTTTAATTCTTCCTACTTGTGTCCTTAGACGGTTGAGAGTTTTTCACATTTTCTAGGGTAGGTTATATCCTGGTGATAAAGTTTCTTTGGGCGTACCCCAGCCTGTGAGCGTATTCCCCTTTGTTCATTCTTTCCATGCTTCAATCCGGTTAATAATTAGGTTTTCCCTTAGTGGTGATGTCATTTTCATAAAGTACTTTATCGATTTTAATCTGCTATTGGTTGGAGTTACTCCATACATTGCATGATTGTTGTCATTTAACTGTGTTTGCCCCTTTCTATATTAGCTGCTATTTCTCGTCTTATTTTAGGCGGCGTTATTCCACTTTAGATTTGCACTTTGTTTATAGAAGTTGGTTTTAAGCATCTTGTTATTAATCTTACCTTGCCATTTAATACTATATCTACTTTCTTTGCATGAGATAATTATTGCCATACTGGGCATGCGTGCTCCCCATCTGCGTAGCATAGTGCAAGACCAGATGTTCTTAGCACTTTTGGGTCAGCACCCCATCTTGTTCTCATTAGTTTCTTTATTTATTTCTAGCAGTGATCTTTTTGCTTACACTCTCACAATGTGCTTTATATGTCAATGGTCTATCCAATTTTACTCCTAGGTATGTGGCATTATATATATGCTCTAGATGGTATGTAAAAACTTGTGTTTTTGTGGGGTTAGGTTTTTTTAGGTGATTCTATTCATAGTATGTTGATAGTTTATTCAATGTTCCTTGTATTCTGTTTTCGACTTCCTCAAAATGTCGTCCTCTGGCTGCTACTGCTGAATCATCAGCGTAAAGAATTTTTTTTTTTTATTAGCTGGTCGTTTATGTACACGTTAAATAACATTGGTGCAAGTACATTGCCCATTATTCTGTCTCCTCCATTTACTATTCTTTCCTTGTAACGTTACATAAAGTCTTCAGTTCTTTAGCAGCATACCGATAACGTTTGTTAGTTTAAAGTCCTTTGATGTCTGATATAATTTTTTCAGGAGTAGTCTGTGATTAACTCTATCATAGGCAGCAGTTAGATCGATATATGCTATACTCGTTATATATTTTACTTTGTGTTCTTCTTCAATGTGGTGGACTAGATTTAGAACTTGTCTAGTGCATGATTTTCCAGACCAGAAGCCTGCCTGTTTGTTTATTAGTTTCTTTTCTATCTCGTGCTTTATTCTATTTAAGATCATTCTTTCAAAATATTTGTATATATGGTTTAGTAGCAAGACAGGTCTGAAGTTTCTGTTATGGCACATCTTTTAATGTTATTCTTGAGATAGAAGTGTATAAGTCAAAGTGTAACAGTGTGAATAATAATTCACAGGTCGTGGGACAAAGTGTTTGGGTGCGTGCAGGGCACACACTTGGCGTTCTATAAGGACGCTAAAGTAGCCAAGATCTCGCCGGACACATACTTCAAGGGTGAGATGCCAATTGATCTTCGCGGAGGTTCTGCCGAAGTAGCCACAGATTACACCAAAAAGAAATTTGTGTTGAGGGTCAAGTTGGCAAGTGGCGCCGAGTTCCTGTTCCAGGCACGCAACGACGTCGAGATGCGCCAGTGGGTGAATACCTTGAAGAATGTGTGCGAACAAGATGCTGCAGGCACGCATTCTCGATCGCAAACACTACCAGCTGTTGGTGACAAACGCGATGAGCCCAAACGACGTAGTTTCTTTACTTTGAAAAAGGTGTAAACTTTTTATAATTTTGATTTTACACAAACAAAAAAAAAGGTATAATAAACAACACAAATTATATTATATTTTGACTTGCACCGTCTACCACTACTAGTGGCTCCTGGACTCGTCGCTGTTGTTGTCGTATCCTCACGCGTTTCTAACTTTTTTATTTATTTTTATTTTTTTTTTTCAATTGTTCAAGTAACATTAAATATTATTATTATTATTTTTATTATTACTATATTATATTATCGATGACAGCTAATACCTATTTTATTACTTTACATACTTGCTTTGAAAAAAAAAAAAGTTAATATATTATTATGTATAAGCTAGGCAGCTCGCACGTGGAAAAAATAATAAATATATTCACTCTCAAACCTTGCACACCAACATTTTATCATTTTATATTTTATATGTATCGATTAACCAAAAAAAAAATATAAATGTTTAGTTTTATTATTTTAGATTCTAGATATGTTTTATTTATTTACTGTATTTTTAATTTTTTTTTTTTTTTACGCCTATTTACACCCGTTTAATATCTAATTTATATTTATAACAAATCTATTAAGCTAATATTTATTTGACACACTGTTCATTTTAAAGTATTATTTTTGTTATACAATTTGATAACAATATGCCTGGTCGATGAATATTGATAAATAAAATATATTTAGAGCAATTTTAGTATTTTTAAGAGATTTTATTAACTTATTAAATTATAAATATATATTATAGAAATCATTTATAAATATAATTTGAAAAATTATTTATTTATTTATTAAAATTAAAGAAAAATATTCATATAGAAATTACAAGATTACTAAATAGTTACCTTTAAGGCTTTAAAGTGTAAATTTTAATACAATTTTACTATAATTATTTTTTAATAATAATTTATTAAAAAAAAAATCTATATAATATAATATTATTCTACTATTCGGCGTTTGGTTCCTCTACGCTAATTTTATTTTGCGCTAGCTATGAGAAAAAAAAAATGTTAACTAATGAGCTGGAAATAAGTAGATGAGTTTATATATTTATTTGATAGAAATATTTGATACCTATTGATATTTTCAATGTTTATGTAAAATTAAAGGAAATTATATATTATTTAACTTTGCTTAAAAAAAGAAATTGTTTATAGTGGATACATTAAAAAAAATATATACATATATATTATCTTCAATATTAATTGTTTTATTTTTGTTTAGCACAATGTATGACACCTACATAAAGTTAATTTAATCTGAAACCTCAATTCAAATATGACTAACAGACAATAAATAGAAATAGTCATAGGTGTTTAAAAAATTATCAAAAGTTTAGTATAAGTTTTATCAGAAGTTGATTGTGTATTTGTCTTTTTTTTTATAAGTGTTTAAAGTTCAAATATTAATAAAAATGTTAAAAATATCTGCATTAATAAAATTGTAGTTATATCGATTGTCTGCATGCTAATTGACGTAAGTGCCGTTTCATACATTTTTCAGGAGAGCAAAAATCTTGTTAGTTTAAGTTTATTAGTTTTTATGTATAGTATTGAAACTATTCTTATCGGCATATGAGTGTTATAGAATATGGAAGGTATTTCATTCAATGTTGTTTTTAGTAATTTTTCAGCCTAAAAACTTAATTTGTTTCTTATGCCTAATTTTTTTTTTCTTCCTAAGTAAATTTATTGGTGCTTAAGCCGGGCTCATACAGAAACGACAAAATTAAAACAAAACAGAAACTGCGTTTTTCGAAAAAAAAAAATATTTTTAAAACAATTATGTTTATTTCCAACAAATTGGTCGCGTTTTTAAAAACCAAGTCATGTCCCGAGCGGTGGTTAGGTAAACACCAAAAGGTTTTGATTTTGTTGTTTTTGTGAACATTGTCGAACCTGTGTGGACAATGTTTTTAAAACAACCAACAGACAATAGTTATCGGGATTTATCTTATCTTATCTTATCGGGATTTCGCGAGCAGTACCAATATGGTTATTTATAAAAATATATTTATTATATAAATATAAATTCGTTGTCTACCATTTAGTATCAATTGGTACCAATATCATCATCTTGTAAATAATTCTAAAGTTTATCGAAACCGAACAAATTTTTTTTTTTTAAAGTTGGTCTTATTCAAAAACGTCTTTTAATCTTATTATTTTTTTTTTACTTTGTAACCGTAGGTAAATACACCCAGCACCCAATATAAGTAAATCTTTATCGTCTTCAATATCTCTTCAATTTTCACATTTTCACTCACAGTAAAAATATTAAAAACTTATAAGTACGAAGTGTTCAGAGAACTAGAACTTGGAAGACATACTGAATGACCATGAATGGACGAAATAAAATGACGAGTTTATTTTTCTGTATTGATAGTTGAAAACACAATTAAATGTTTGAATTTTGTTCATATTTTGTTTAATTTTTACTCAATTCAGCATGGGCACATATTTTGTTTGTGTTTTATTTTTTCAAATTCTCGAAAGAAGGGTTTGTTTTCGCTTGTTTTGTTTCTGTGTCATCTCTGTGTGGACCCAGCATCACGCCAAATTATTTGCATGTATCCAAAATTGAAAACTAGCCCGCGGTTTGCATATTATAATCAACAAACCATTTTATTGACCCATGTGACCTTTTAAACAATTGTTATACTCTTGGGTCAAATAATATATCGTTTTGACATTTTGCATTAAAAGTTATATTTGTATTTTCTGATAAATCATTAAATATACTAATTTGTGTTTTTTTCATCAGAAATTTAAGTAGATTTTACTGCCACTTAACCTTAATTATCTCAAATGTGGCACTAGAATAACTTTGAATTGCCTATTATTGTACACTGTAATGAAAACCTAAATAAAATACTTTTTTGTTTTACAATTTAAAATTATTGTACAATGTGACACTTTTGTCTACTTGACAAAAATAGAAATATTTTTGACAAAATTAAATAAACATAACATAACCATAAATAACCAATCCAAGTAAAAAATACGTATTAAAATAGAAAAAAACATTTAACAAAAATAATAATGGTATTATCACAAGTTAATATATATATTCTTTTTCAAATAGATAAATTGAAGGCATCGGTGCAGTAACCGGATACGTCCACAAATTTTCAAAATCATGTTTTAATATAGAAATATTTAGAAAAAAATCCATCGATCGGTTCAACAACCGAATACGTCCGATGAATAGTATTGTAATTAAATAATAAAAACTGGTTTTCAAATTTCTGTTGGTTGCAATAAGCAGATATGTCCGGACGTATCTATTCAAACATTATATATGACATTTTTTTTTTTATTTGGCGCAAAACCAAATACGACCGGACGTCACTGGTTATTGCTCCCAACACTTCTTTTCAAATTTTGGTATTTTATCGGTTGCAAAAACCAGATATAAAGATTTATTTTTTTTTATGTATTATATTATTATAAAATAAAATAATATTATTATTGTTTGTTGGAATTCTATGTTGATAAAGATTTTGATGATTAATAAGTATTGTTATAATGGTAACATCGTTTTTAATCAAATATCAAATTATTATTTTATTTTTCTCTTTCAATTTTTCTTAAATTTCAATACAAAAATGAGTGATCAGTCATCGAGTGTATTTGATGATACGGATTCTGATCCAGACTTTTTTATTGATGAAATGAGGATAGATTCCAGTATGTCAGTATCTTCGATTGATGAGGATACTTATAAAAAACTGACTGAAAATGATGAAATGGTTAATAACAGTAATAATTCAATTACAGTACCATTTTCAAACAATAATAACTAAGGTCCCTCGAATATATTAGCTTATGACAGTAATGGTAGTAATTTAGTAATAATAATAATAATAATCATTGTTCTAATGGTTCTCAACAAAATCACATTAATTCTCCATCTACTTCATTGCATGTAATAGAAGCGTCTAGCAATGATTAAAATATAGTTAATAGTTAAAGAGAAGGTAAGTAAAGATTAAGTTTGTGGAAAAGAAATTCAGCTAGGACCAATAAAGCACTTGGTTTAGAGTACACTAGTTTTAGTTTTAGTTTTACACTGGTTACTGCACCGGTGCCTTCAATTACAATTAAACAACTAAAATATTATAATAACATATTGAATAACTTTGTTAACTCTTGTTATGATCAGAAAAAATAGCATAATTTGCATTTTAAGTCTATTGATTAGAATATAAATATTTTTGACAAAATTAAACCAAACGTTACATAATATTAATAAACAACAAATCCAAGTAAAAACTAAATATTTAAAAAGAAAAACAGTTATTAAAAAAAAGATGTAGGATAATGAGGATGTGTGCGACCACTGTTACAGGTAATTTAATCATTAAATTTTAATGTATCTATACCTGTAAGCAGCGATAAACCATTGTTTATAAAAAAAACGATTCTGAGCGGAGTTCAGTTAATAGTGATGCTTTGTCAACAACATATATGTCATTTTATAATAAAATAATTAAATACACTTTATACATTTTCTTTCATAATATTTATTTAATGTTGTACCGATTTTCCCATATTTTATCCCGGTTTTTCACATTTACTGAGAAAACTCCTAAGAAAATCGAAAAATGACCTTTTTTCAATTTATCTCCCTAGTGAAATTTTCTTTTAAAAATATTGCTATCATTAAAAGTTGAAGTAAAATTGCTGGTAGAAAAGTTGAGCACAGGAAAAAAAGTAGTAATAGGAGGATTGTCCCAAAAGTAATGCACAATTTGCTCTGAATAAATAAGTTTTTATTTTAAACTAAATACAATATTATAGACCTTCGATATAATCTCCCTGCTTGTCTATACACGATTGCCATCGTTTCGGGAGCGCTTGAATGCCGCATAGGACGCCATCTTTGTTGAGTTCACGGATCCTTCGGCTCACTTCTTCATTTAGTATATCTAAGTTGGGAAAACGGATCCCTCTAAGTGGTTCCTTCAGTTTTGGAAATAAATCAAAGTCCGGGGGACTTAAATNTCGTCGGTCTTCATCGAGTAGAGTTGCGAGAATAGCCGCGTTAGTGTTGTCTTGAGTAACCGTAGAGGGTCGGCCAGAGCGAGGGTTGTTATCAATACTTATACGACCATCACGGAATCGCTGATGCCATCTTTGCACCGTACTACGATCCACAGTATCCGTTCCACACACTTCATTTAACGCGGCATGAATTTCAGGCACTGTTTTACCACGAATCGTTTCGATTTTAATGTATGCGCGTTGCTCAAAAACAGAAATGTGAGCCGACGAATTGTTCTCACTTTCGTTATCGCTCTCACACATCATCATACTTTACTAAAACAACTAAAGCTGAAAACGCACGTGTTCGTTAGACTTCAAGCTACAAACTGATACTAAAATCAGTTGATAATATCACATTGCAAGACAGCTAGAGCGCGCTGTGCATTACTTTTGGGACAACCCTCGTATTTTAGCAATATTTTTATAATATTTTTAGTTATATTTATATTTCGTACATTTTTACGTTTTATTTCGGTTTTTTTTAAATTTTATGAGAAAATCGAGAAAATTTCTCATGAATATTCAATTTTTAATTTCTTCGGGCGATTTTGATCATCGTTTTATAAAACAAATATTCAGGGTTGTGAAAAATCTTGAACTATTTTTCAAAGTTTTTTGTCGATATCTTCAAATCTATTCATTTTTATGGGATTTAAACCATACTTTTTTAATTCTAGGACAAACAAACTACAAAATATCCTATTTAAACATTCAATTTTCTATTTCCTTGGTCAATTTTGACCATTGTTTTATAATAGGTATTCGCAGTAGGTACTATGTTTATTAAATAGTTTGGCTGATAAATGAATAACATAAACTGTTGTATAAAAAGGGTCGATATAGGTCGATGAAGAGATGGACAAAAAAATAGTTGCACCTACTCGTGGATCCTTGTACCTCGCACCTGCACCTGCGCTTGGTGTTGAATTCTCTAAATTACACTACTATAATTCATAATTATATATTTTATTAAAAATACATTACGTATCTTTACTAACGATAAATCTACGACGAGCATACCAACGGTAATACTTATAAAATATTTTCGAATAGATACTCGAGATCGGTACATATTTATACTATGATAATTCTTCTATCATTGACGGAAATTAATATACATAAAGTCATAAAGGTATTCTAATTATAATGTTACAGATGTATTATATGACAGATCGAAGTGTTGTACGATGAATATATATATAGTATTAAAAACGATGATTTATTATACTAATACTAATGCACATACATATAGATACTCTAATAATTAAGCTGTATGTTTGATCGATGTGTCGTACGATGTAACAATACATCATACGATGTATCGATACGTTGTGAATGTGTATGTGAGAGGTAAGCTTAGTCGTATGATATTTTATCATAGTGGTGGTGGAGAAAAAAATATACTGTCTATGTATGTAATATTTTATCGAAGTGACGGGGGCGTCCGAGGTCTTTCGAAGTTGCGACGGGGTTGGTGAGAAGTAGATTATGTAAGTAGTTGATAATATAGAAAAAATAATATTTTAAAAAAAAAGGGGTGAGGAAAATATATGCCGATAAAGAGGTGGATGACGGTGGCTCCATGGACCCGCTCCCACACCAGCACCAGGATTTAGAGTGACCATGTTATAGATATAGCGCCCGCACCCGCACCCGCACAAGAACGTGATTGTGCAAGATTTGATCCTGCTTCCGCACAAGATTGAGATTGCGTAAGATTTGAGCATGCTTCCACATAAGATCATTTTTCGATTTTCTCAGGAGTTTTCACAATAAATTTGAAAAACCGAAAAGGATGGGAAAGTATAAGAAATGTAGGTATTAGTTAAAATATATTACGGTCTTCTTTTTTTTTCAAATTTTCATGCATTTATATGTTCAGTCAAACTATTTAATATACATAGTACCTACCGCGAATACCTATTATAAAACAATGGTCAAAATCGACCGAGGAAATGGAAAATTGAATATTCATGAGAAATTTTCTCGATTTTCTCATAAAGTTTGAAAAAACCGAAAAAAAAACGCAAAAATGTACGAAATATATTACTAAAATATTACTATTTTTTTTCCTGTGCTCAATTTTTCTACCAGCAATTTTACTTCAACTTTTAATGATAGCAATGTTTCTAAAAGGAAATTTCACTAGGGAGGTACATTAAAGAGGTCATTTTTTTTTCCCAAAAGTTTTCCCAGCAAATGTAAAAAACCGGGATGAAACATGGGAAAACGGGAGAAAACTTAAGAAAATTGGGAAAATCGGTTTAACATTGAACACATTTTATTAAAAAAAAATATATTAAGCCTATTTAATTATTTACTATAAAATGACATATATATATATATTGTTGACAAAGTATCACTATCAACTGAACTCAGCTCAGAATCACTTTTCGTAAGCACTGGTTTATTGTTGCTTACAGATTTAAATTAATTCCCTTCTATATCCTTAATTTCCAACATCTCACCAACAACAGTGGCTGCACCAATCGTGTGAAGTATGTCAGTATTTTTAACATTTTTTTGGTCTGTGAACGCATTTTCTCCTAGAATTTTGCTCCAATAAAAAATGTACAAGATACCTTTTTGCGATTTCTCGTTCTTTTTCAGTGGATTGATTTGCAACGTTATGAAGCCTAACTGTATACGGCTTTGCTGGGCAAGATTAGATCTTCTGGGTTGTGGAATTTTAGATTCCAAGTGGAGCGAAGAAGCTTATAGTTTTACAAAGATCTTTATTATTATTTTTTATCTGTGCTCAACTTTCTATCAGAATTCCTGCTCGGATTTCTAAATCAACCAAAACTATGAAAAGGAACGTGTTTGGTAATAAGAAAACTGATGATTAATGTGATTCACGCGACGATACTCAAAGGAAAATTCAAAGGTAAGGAAGTTTTCATTCCGAGGAATCTGATAATCCCAATCGATATGCCTTTTGAGTTTAAAAGAATGCAATTTTCGAATCGTCTTGCATTCACTATGACGATAAACAAATTACAAGGACAATCCCTATGTATTTGTGGTCTAAATTTAGAAAATGCACGCTTTTTTATGGTCAATTGTATGTGGCATGTCTACGTGTCGGCAAACCAAACGCTTTATTTATTCTTGTAACTGATAACAAAATAAAAAATGTCGTATATCACAAGGTGCTTCATTGAAGAGAATCAACCCCACTGTAACCCATACAGTAAAATATATAGCTTCATAAAAGGAAATGTCTTGCCAACCCGCCATTGAAATATTTGATTTTTGTTGTTTTATTATATTTTTATTTTCTTTATACATATTATACTAATAAACTGTTGAACTTATTACATTTTTTTATTCATTTTATTGCGTTAATTAAAATCATAAATTAAGTTTAGCTAAAAGGTACATTACATTCATTGGCTGTTAGGCGGTACTAAGTTCGCAGGGTCAGCTAGTAGTAAAATAATTAAATAAGCTTTATATTATATTTTCTTAAACAATATTTGTTTGATGTTATACCGATTTTCCCAGTTTTCCTACGTTTTCCCATGTTTTATCCCGGTTTTCCACATTTCCCGGGNCATTTTATTGCGTTAATTAAAATCAAAATATTAAGTTTAGCTAAAAGGTTCATTACATTCATTGGCTGTTAGTCGGTACTAATTTCGCAGGTTCAGCTAGTAGTAAAATAATTAAATAAGCTTTATATTATATTTTCTTTAACAATATTTGTTTAATGTTGTACCGATTTTCCCAGTTTTCCTACGTTATCCCATGTTTTATCCCGGTCTTTCACATTTCCCGAGAAAAAACCTGGGAAAATCGAAGAATGGGCCCTTTAAAGTATCTGCCTAGTTAAATATTTTTTTAGAAAATTAATTTCATTGTAAATCGGAGCAAAATGGCTGGTAGAAAAGTTGTGTACAGAAAAAAAAATCATAATATTTTAGTAATATATCCCGCATAATATCCCTTTTTTTTCATTCCACTCAGAATCTGAAANTGTTTTATCCCGGTTTTCCACATTTCCCGGGAAAAAACCTGGGAAAATCGAAGAATGGGCCCTTTAAAGTATCTCCCTAGTTAAATATTTTTTTAGAAAATTACTTTCATTGTAAATCGGAGTAAAATTGCTGGTAGAAAAGTTTTGTACAGAAAAAAAAATCGCAATATTTTAGTAATATATCCCGCAAAATATCCCGTTTTTTTCATTCCACTCAGAATCTGAAATAAAAATATATAAGTTAAGTTCATATTGAAATTCAGCCAAAATGTTATCCTTTCAATTCACCTAAAAAAAATACAAATTGCCAAATTTGAGCTTATCCAGTTCAGAGAGAGCCGCTAAAAATATCCAGATGTACCGGGAAATACATGTATCTATACGGGAAAGACACAGACGAGTGCAATAGTCTTTAATATTAGGAACATATTCGAAAAAATCACACATCATATATGATGATCATAGTAAAACTATTAATTTTATAACATATAATAATATTATAGTATATTATAAAATCAATGGTAATATCAATAAGCACCTTTCTTTTGCAGTGCTCAGAATTTGAAATATGTTTACATTATAAACAAAAAACCAAAAAAAAAGTCGGGCGGATACAGGTTTTGGTGCAGCCACTATTGTAGGTGGGAAATTTGAACGGTAGGATACAATATAAAGTTATTTAATTAATATCTGTAAGTAATGATAAATTAATGCTGACGAAAGATGATTCAGAGCGGAGCTCGGCTAATAGTATTTCTATAAATGGAATCTAGGTCAAGTGTTAGAAAGTCATGTGTCATAAGGTTGGATATCGTACATTTAAGTCTCATAAAAGTCATGTGTTATAAAAATTATTTTTCATAAAAATCATATGTTATAAAAGTATAAAATGTCATAAAATTAAGTTATAAAAAAAAATAGAGAAATTAAGATTTGTTATAAAATTAACTATAATAAAAAATAAAATGTCAATAAAGCGTTGTTAATAAGCATTCTACGCTAATTTCTGTTTCCTTCTGCTGTTTTTGTATTCCACGGATACATTTATATAGATCTTTAATAATATAAATATTAATTATGTTCTAGGTACAATAAATGAAAAATAATAAACAAGTTAACTGAGTATTACGTCGCACCAATTAAAAATATAGATGAATCGAATAAGCGATAAGGAATGATAAGTATGATAAGTACAATATTTACAATTATCCTGTGTTAAGTTAGGTTTATTTATATATGAATTTTATAACACATCAATTTCAATTTGTCTGTGTTTTTTTTTATAACG